CTTAAGTAGATTTTTAAGGCGGTTATTAAACTACTGACAACTTTTGGATCTGCCACTCAATACCGGCTTTAATTCTATATTTTCCACTGAAGTTACATTTCAAATTCAGACTTTTACGGTAACTAGCAGAGGAGAGTATCAGGCTGGCTCAGTTGGTAGCATTCTTATCTCTAAGTCAGTATGTAGGTTTTGAAGCCCCATGTTGCAACTTTAAACTCATGTACTGCAGGCTGATACTCGAATGAAGTGGCTGGGTGTGGCTGTACTGTTGGAGGTACTATCCTTGAGATAAGATTTTAAAATTGAGGTCTATCTGCCAGTTTCAGAGAACTTTAAAGATCCCATGGCAAAAAGAGAAGGGAATTTGTCCCAGTGTCCTGGCCAACAATCCCCCAAATAAAAAAAAGGTCCCTCAATTCATGGCTATTTGTGGGATATTGCTGTGCAATTGTGCTGTCACAATAAATTCTGTGAAGTGCTTTGAGATGTCCTTCTGAAATGATAAGGTGCTATACCAAATGCAAGGATTATTATCATTATTATAAAATCAATGATTCACTCATTGCTGTTATGGTACGTTGCTGTGTGCAAATTGGTTGCCATGTTCACCATCCTAAGTCATCCCAGTGTGAAAGGTGCTATATCAAATGTAAGGATTATATTATTATTAGAAGATAATCGTACCCCTGGATTGATTTAATACTAGTAGAGGGGCCAAAATTGAGGGAATGTTCCATTGCTAACACCCACCTTAAAGACCACTAAAATTTCCCTCCTCCTTCCAGAAACCACAATGTAATTAAAACAATAAAATCAGAACTACTTTGATATTTAAATGGAGGAAAGGACTGGGTATAAGCCTTCCTGTTGGAGGGGCATTCTGTGTATTGCCTAGATTGTTAGAAACCTGGGATTGTTCTATTTATTTAAATAATAAATACAGAATAAGTAAGCATAGGATTCATTCACCTCTATACACCATCTATAGAAAATCTAATAACATTAAAATATAATTCTTGTCAGCTGCATGTTTTTCTAATGGCAACAATCATTATATGATCCAAGATGAATATCCATTGTGCATTGTATAAGAATATTAAAAAATCCTTGCGCTTGATTTAGTGCCTTTCATTTAGAGTAGAAATCTCAGAGTGCTTCACAGAATGTATTGAAAAGTGTAGAGACTGTGTATTTTGTAGGCAAACGCTGTAGCCAGTTTGTGCACAACAATGTTCTACAAACAGCCAAGGAGTGAATGACCGATATTATCTGGGGGAATTGTTGGCCAGGACACCAGGACAAACCACCTTCTTTTTTCAAATAGTGACATGGGATGTTTAATGTCCACCTGAACCTGCAGATCGGATCTTAGTTTAATGTCTCATACTCAGGATGGCATCTCCAACAATGCAGTAAACCAGCAGCACTGATTTGAAATGTCAGCCTAGGCTGTATGAAATCATAGACTCAACATGGGACTTGAATCCACAATCTTCTGATTCAGAGACAAGAGGGCTAGCAACTGAGCCAAGTTGAAAGACATACAGGCCAAATTGACAGTGCAGTGCAACGAATTAGTACACTGTTCTTCCATTTCTGGGATTTAGGATTAAATTTAGCTCAGATAAGTGAATGTTTCCTTTCGCTCTATCCTCAGTAAAAATCCTAAATGAAACAAATGGGCAATTTCACCCCAATCCCAAGGTAAGCACAATTCCACAGAGCAAAACTGTCCACAGTTTGACAATAATGTGTAATGTCCCTTAGTAACACAAAAGAATGGCTAAATACAAGAACAAAATGGACTGTCCAGTGAGGAAAGCACTTCTGTGATTGAAATTAACTCCTAGAATTCATCACTCAAAATTTTTTGAAGGTGAAAACAGTGTTAAAATAATTGCTTCCAACTTCCAAATGGATGGTTGGAGTTAGAAAAAAAAGGAAGGTAAAGCTTTTAAAGTGAAAAATAGAAAAAATGTTGCACTTGGAGAAAAAAGTAAAAAAATAAAGTTACAATTCAAATATAGGATAACAGCTGGGTGCAAAATATAGGGAAAATGTTCTATTTTCTGACCCCAATGTATTGAACACATCCTCTCTCTCAAAAAGAAAATAGACATGAGTCATCGTTTGCTACATTAATTGAGACAAAATGCAAGCACTGGACAGTGAGATACACTTCAATCTGGATTAAAATACAACATTTTAAATGCTGGTGAAACATGACCACAAATTCATCTCTGCAGCCAAGAGATTTTGTGCAGTTTAAGTGAAAGTAAAGGGATTATAAAGATGCCTGACCACTGTGGAATCTGCCAAATCCTGCTCATGCTGGTTGTTGCTGGCAGAGACACTAAATGTTAGAATGGCAACCTGTTAGCATCTGGTCTGCGGTAAAGCTATAAGCAATGTTTTTTTTATTTGGTTAGCCAGATGTCTGAGATATGTGAAAGTCTATCACTGTGCTTCATAGTATCCAAACCAGACAGAATTCCATATATGCAAGCAATTTATGGATGGAAATGTTGCTGTGTCTGGATGGAGTGCATACTTCACTGGAGGGACACACTCTGCTTACCTAATCCCCAAAAGTATTTGATGCAGGTTGGTGAGAGGCAAGGCTTGGGTACCACAGTCTACATTGGGATAGTGTTGGAATTTAACCAGATAACCAGGTTCACTGATCCATCACTTATAGTGGCTTTGGAGTCCTGCGGACCCTCCTGGATCAGCAACCAAATTGAGACTGCCACAGATTATAGACTCAACCTCAATATTCCGTTCCGAGGCATGTCCTCATGTGACAATCACTTTGCTATCACCTCATTCCAGTAATATAATGTTTACATGTGAATAGTAAAGTTGCAAAGAACGCAGCCTACTTAGTATTTTTTTACGACTCCAGAGTGTGTAAGATCAAAGGATTAGCACTTCAAATCCAAATTTGCAGTCTGCGATAACATGGTTGTGTGCTAATTGCCAAATCAATGGGGATGTTTGAGCTAGCAGGGAGCAAAATAGTTATCAGTGGAGATTGAAATCGGGCCTTTCTCTGAGTTACGAAGTACCAACATGATTGTGAACTCATTTCAACTATTGTATCACATGCAACTTGGGAAATAGGGTTAGGCTGTAGGTGTTTAGGAACACACAGCTGCAGTCTATTCGTCTGGCCAATGTTTTGAAGGTTTGTGTAAGCAATCTACACATCACTAAGATACTAAACTTTGAATCTGTGTGAAGTACTGAACACTGAGGACACTGAAGCAATCTTTTTCTCACATGTTCGTGCCTGAGTCAGGGTGAATCCATTAGAGCAGACCGCTTCCTCACTCTATCAGCTGAGGGAAATGCTTGATTCTGGAAATCTATGGAAAAAGAGGGGATGATGAAGAAGGAAACAATTTAAATAATTTGAGTTTGCATTTTCATAAAACAAATGAAAAACATAAAACAAGTCACATTCTACTTCCTATATCCTCATCCTATTACTGATTAATTAGAATTAGTGGTAAAAGATAATTTTGATCACATTTTTAAATATTTATTCATTTTAAAATAAATATACTTACTATAACATAATTTAGTTTGTTCAATTTCTGTATTATCATGAAGAAAAGCTGTCTCCTGCTGTCCTCTAGGGGCAAATGTGTGAACTCCAAGAATCTGTTCATATAACTCTCCTGTAATGATGACTGTAGGGTGATATTGCAATGAAAGTAAAGTAGAAAGAACACATATTCAGCCCAGTCCCCTCAAAGGTCACATATAATTCATCTAATCTCTCGACCAATTCACTTTTGCCTAGTGTTATTTGAATGCTAATAATCTGCGCTGTACTAGTTAAGTCCTATCTTTTCGACCATATTTTCAGCCACCAATCTCCCACTCCCTCAGCTCTTCCCCAACCCCCTTCCGAGGTCAGGCTCCCAAACAGCTGTGTACTTTTGAGATGTCCACCTGATGTGAAAACACTCTACAAATTTAAATTGTTGTTATAGTGCCATGGCAATTATACTTTAGTGAATTATATACTCCATGCTGTATAGTTATGTGCTCTGTACATCATTATTTTTCATTTCGGGAGACCTCAGATTGCTTCACAGGATTCACTGTAAAACGTGGTAACTGTGCATTTTGTGGGTGAACCAGCTACCAGAGGATAATAATGATAATCCTTGCATTTGATATAGCGTCTCATTGTGTTATTGAGATGTCTTCAAGGTCCTCACAGGATTTTAGTGTCAAGTTTTGTGACTGGGTATTTGTAAGCAAACACAGTAGCCAATTTATGGGAGCACAACAATGTCCCACAAACAGCTATGAAGTGAACGCCGAATTCTGTCTTGGGGATTGCTGGCCAGGACACGAGGAGAATCTTGACTTCTCTTTGCTGTAACATCCACATGAACAGGTGAGGACGGCACCTCCCCCAGCACTGCATTTGAGCATCAACCCAGACCGCGAGTTCAGATGATGCGTCAAGAGACCCAAAACAATAATTTAGTATTGATAATAATAATAATCCTTGCATTTGATGTAGCGCCTTGTAACGTCTTTGAGACCACACTAAAAGCGCTTCGCAGAATATAGTGTGAAGTACAGTGACGATATACTTTGTGGGAGCGAAACGCGGCGGCCAATTGCACACAGCGGTGTCCCCACAAACAGTCGTGGATTGAGCGACCAAATTATTATATGTTTTTAAAAGAGGGGAAAAACATTCCAATCAGAGTCTCGATGAACTGCAATGGATTGCCACCATGTGATCTTATGCCCAGCTCCCACCGTCCACACACTGTCTCTCCCCCTCACCCCCCCCAGTTGGTTAGCTGTTTGGTCCTGATGCTGTGGAGTAAGCGGCTGCTGGAGACCTCACTTCCGGGTACCCGTGCCCTCACCAAGATGGCGGCCGCGCGGGCCGCCGTCCCGGCGCGCTCACGTCTGCCCTCATCGTCGTCAACCCGCGCAAGCGGTTAATCTCGCGAGAAGGGAACAGAGGCGCCCGTTTGAATGCGCGGTCGGTTGGTTCGCGCGCAGCGAGAGAGCGAGAGAGAGGGAGAGGTGAGTGTATATATATATATATCCATATATTCTGTCTTATTCTCTTATTTTATTCTCTCTCTCTATCTATATATATATGTATAGAGAGAGAAAGAGGTAATTTATTATATATATATAGAGAGAAAGAGATGCGTTGTTAGCGTATATACTGTGTATATGGAGAAACAAGAGGGAGATATATATTGATTTTATATATATAGATATATATATATATATATAGAGAGAGAGAGAGAGAGGTGAGATATATATATGTAATATATATAAATATAGAGAGAGGAGTTGTATACAACAACAAGGTCTCAGGGTGGCGCCGCTGATCACGTCACAGTGACACTGAGCCCCAGGGAGAGCGGGAGGTGACCCCCCGGCGCAGGACGGACTTCCCTCAGACATGATCGGAGAAATGGGAAGGGACGGGGCCGAGGCGGAGGGGGTCGTGGGAGACCGCTTTCGGGTGGTAGCGGCTGAAGCTGCGGAGCACGGCCGCCCGGGGTAGGGTGGGGTGGGACGAGGGACGGGCAGGAGGCCAGAGGCAGCGGGTGGAGGGAGTGGGACAAGGCGGGTTGGGGAGATCGGGAGGCGCCGGGGCATGAAGTGATTTGTATGCGAGTGCCAGGATCCTGGAAGTCGGTCCGTTTCTGCAATAGAGAACCAGTGGAATCTGCTGGAGACTGGGGCGATGGGGGTGTGAGTTCAGCGCGGCTGAGGATACGGGCAGTGGAGTTTTGAATTAATTGGATTTGAAGAGTGCTTGAGCTGGGGAAGACCATCCATTGGTATCGGAAAAACCAAGCCGGGAGGTGGCAAATGCATGGATAAGGGTGGCAGCTGTTTTGGATGTGGGGTATAGTCAGAGGCGGACAGTGCAACAGAGTTGGAGGAAAGCGTTCCTGGTCATGGGCAGAGGTGAAGTAGGGAAGGACAGCTGAGATCGAACCTGACGACTCTTGCATGCAGGTTCAGTGGGTCTGAGGGATGGACTGAGGAGGTTAAGGAGGTCAGAGTTGCAGATGGGAAGATGTTGACGGGAGCCAAGGAGAATGGTTTGCAGGCTCAAGGAGCCCCGGTCACAGACGGAGGATGTAATTTGTGATTTTGACGAGTGCTGTTGCCAGGGCAGAAACCAAACTGGAGGGGCTTGAGTAAGGAGTGAAGGAAAGGTTTGAGCGAAGTTGGGTGGCAACATGCATTCCAGGACTTTAGGAGGGCAAGATTGAGCTGGGCCAGTAGTTTACAAAATTTGAAGTACAGAAAGAGAGAAAGAAGAGAACTGCATATATGTATATACAAAATATGATATACAGTGAGAGTTAATTATCTCAATACTTCACAAAGAAAGCATTAGGGTTTTTTCTCTTTTTCTAACCCACCCACTCTCTGTATTTATATCCCACTTTTATATCTGTGTCTCTTTTATTTGGCCGCCCCAAAAATATACAGTCAATTCACTTTACATTATATTCTGTGAAGCGCTTTGAGACGTCTTGAAGACGTGATAAGGCACTATATCAAATGCAAGGATTATTATTGGTCAGCCGTGTGTCTGACACATACATAACATAACATGTAGGACAGAAGTAGGCCATTCGGCCCTTTGAGCCTGCCCCGCCATTCAATCATGGCTGATCTTCTACTCTAATAACCTAACCCTGCCTTATCCCCATATCCCTTAATATCTTTTGCAAACCATCACATTTGCTTAAGAGTATCCAAACCAGACAGAGTCCAGAATTAGGTAAGCACTATGTGTCCCTCCAGAGAGAGGGTGTGCATTCTATTCCAGACATTAGCATTTCCATGTCTAGGATGCGAACATGGACTCTGTCTGGTTTGGATACTCTTAAGCAATGGTGATGGGTTGCATGTGTCAGTCACTAGGCTGACGAAATAAAATTCAGACACAGGTATTACGGTTGGATATAAATAAATGTGTGTATATATATATATATATATGAGCGAGACAGAGAGTAGGGGTGTGTTAGATAGAGAGGAAGAGAGTGAGAAGAAACCTAACGTTTTCTTTGTGAAGTATTGAGATAATTAGCTCATTTAATTCTTAACTGTTAGCATTTTTTATTGCTTTAGTCACTTGCTTCATAGTGTTACAAATCAAAATTGTTTTCAGAGTTTAAACAATGGAGAAGCCGAAAAAACAACTCCAAATCCGTCAGGCCTTTGAAATGGCTCAGAAAGGGCATCAAAATCTCGCAAAGCTGGCAGCAGGTCTTAAAAAAACTTACGATCAGGTAGAGTATATTGAATAAGTCCTGCAAGCAGTAGTCTCATAAAGTGGTCTATTTTAGCTATTATAAATCAGAGGATAATACTGTACAGTGAAAGCTTGACTGCTCTATTTTGCCTGTATTAATTAGGTGCTCTCATTAATGAGTTTGGGCTTTTGGTCGCCATTAGTTTCAAATGACCCCCCCCCCCCACTGAAAATTGATCAGTATAGTGAGTTGCCCTCATCACTGAGATGTCCACGAGATGAGGTTTTCAACCATTTTATGATATGCTGAAAACTCTTACAGCACAAAGGGTTTGATTTCCGTTGTTTCCTTCATTTTTGATGTTGGAGCTCCAAGGTGACATGTTTGACAACGGACTGTTAGAATCGAGCCACCCCTCTGTGGTGGTCTCGGTAGTCTAGTTCCTGAGCCAGGCAGGTTCACAGTACTCCAAGGCATTGCTGATGACAGCCCAACCAGGCTAAACCAAGATAGCCTGCTTGGCAATGGAATATTGGAATTGGGTCAATCCTTGGTAGTCTTGATTCCTACACCAGGCGGATCCACAGTAATCCTGGGAACTAATGATGACAGACCAACTCAGACAGTTGGTCTTATCAGCAGGACTTGGAGGGGCAGACCAGTCACTGGGGGCAGGGATTTATCCTACTCAGCTCTTGTAAACCCTGCAAGCTCAGGCCAAAGTGCTTTCAATGGCCAGCTATGGTTTTGGCTGGTTGGATTTCAGCATTACCCCAAAACAAACTCTGGGGTCCCCAAGCCTTGGCTCTTGCCAGCCTACACCTAATACTCTCCAGAATTAGGTAAACAGAGTGCATTCCTCTAGAGAGAGAGGTCATTTCATTACATGGGAATTTCCATGTGTAGATGGGATGCATGGAACTCTGATTTGGATTCTCTTAAGCATAGTGATGGGTTTCTATCAAAACATCTGGCTGACCGAAAAGAGAATAGTTGGTATGCAGGATGTTGAGGGATATGGTGAAAGTTGCAGGGAAATGGTATTAAGTTGCAGATCAGCTATGATCTAAAAAAAGATATGGTGGAACAGGCTTGATGGGCTGAATGGACTACTTTTGTTTTTATGGTCAAAGTGTATTGTTTTTATGGTCAAACTGTAAGTATATTGATTGGCATTGGTTGGAGAAGGAAAACAAGTTCTGAGTGGAATTATTGAACTGTGGTCAGCAAATTTATACAATAGGATGCAATTATATTTATATACCACATTTAGCATCAGGAGGATGTCTCAAAGTGCTCCAGGCTGCTGGGCACCTGAGTTGGGGTGGGGCCTGGGGAAGGAAAAGATGTCTGAAAATGCAGTAAGAGGTTAAATTGTAACCAAGTAGTCAAATGCTTCTTGAAGGTGTTTAATTATATTTTCAAATTAGTTAGTCATAACTATATGATTCCTTGATAAGGTAATACTTAGAATATTTTTATAAATGTGGCTACATTACCTTCTAAAAGATCTATAAGTATCGGATAAGGTACAAAAGAATCATGTTAAGGACAAACTTACGCAAAATAAGTTGTTTTTATTGGAGATTAAAAGTGGACATGACCCAGATCTTTAATAGATTAAATGGTATTTTGTATGCCTGTAATCAGATTATTTTATTTATGATTTAATTGTTCAGCACAGAAGAACAATTTGACCCTTCGTATCTATGCTGGGAATGTCTGTACTTTAAATTGTTTTAACATTTTCTCTGTGAAAAATAGTGTGTAATTTTTCTATTAATGTTATATATTTCACGTGAAGTTGCAGGAAGAAGATAAAAGTGGATTTCAAGAGGAGTTTGCCAATCTTTTGAAATATCCCATGATTGTTTATAGACGTGAGCCAGCAGTAGAAAGGGTGATTGAGTTTGTTGCAAAGTTTACTACTTCACTCGAGCAAGTGGACGAAGAAAATGATGATCAAGAAGAAGGCCCTTTTATGTCATTCATTTTTAACTTTCTACTTGAGGTATAGTATTACTCCAAATTTAATGAATTTTACAAAAGTAAGCAGTGCAATGATATGTTGCTATTTACAATGCCAAATGGCCAGAAAAATGATTCACTCCACTGTTTTCTTCAAAGAGTTTAGAATAGATAATACAGTAGTAGCAAATTGAACAAATTACAGTGAATTCTAGGATTAGCTGTAATCTTCATTTTTTTAGTATGATTAGGAATGGTGATGAGATAAGTTTGTAGAAATAGGGAACTGAATAAAAAATGATAAACAGAGCAATGGAAGCCCCTTTGTAATTCATATTTGTGGTATTCTTGTAAATGGTTTCAATGTATTTTCGCCCTTGAGTCCTGGCTTGCAATGAGCTTTTAATTGTGTGGCCCTGGAGTCAACAAATGGGGTAAAATTATGTTAATTCTTTTTAGTGTCGTAGCAGCTGTCAGAATACATCTGGAAAGTCTTCAGAGTGGATCTTTTGTGGTCTGAGGACCTGATGTGATGGGTCTGCAGTTTTATGAAATGCAAAAAGTAATGTATCCATGTATGGAACATTTTATGACAGTTACACTGGAACAGAGGGGATTAACAAGAACAACAAATTGCATTTTTACATATCTGTTGGCAGATGACCAGGTGTTGTAAATTGTGAAGAGAGGTAAAAAATACAAGGAGACCTAGACAGGTTAAGCAAATGGGCAGAACTATGGCAGATGGGGTTCAACATTTCAAAATGGGACAGAACATTAGTGTTTGGGAGGATGTTCTAAATGGGAGGGGTAAATTAGAAGACACATCTACAGGTTCAAGTTAATACTTGAGAAAGATCAGCACATGGTTGGTTTTGAGCTGATCACGTTTCTTTATGTTTTGACGACAGTCTCACGAGGCATGTAGCCATTCTGTTCGATTCCGTGCCTGTCAGCTCATCAACAAGCTTCTTGTTAGTATGGCAGAAAATGCGCAGATTGATGATGAACTGTACGACCGTATTTACGAAGCCATGCTGATACGACTGAAAGACAAATTTCCAAATGTGCGAATACAAGCTGTGCTTGCTATGGCCAGGCTTCAGGACCCCAGCGATAACGATTGTCCTGTCATTAATGGTATGAGTTGTAAATGAACATTTTTTAAACTTTGTATCTTTTATAAGTTTATGAATATGTACTTTAAAGAACATTGCGTAAATTGTTATTCTGAGATTAATTTGCTGAATTGTTTTAAATACAACTTTTTAATGAAAATGATTAAGTTAGATTAACTGTGGTGTGTATGTGCACTGTATGTGTAAACAAAATGTATATGTAGAACAAAACAAATGCTTTTCAAGAATTAAGATTGTAAGCACCAATTTTGCTGATGATTTTTAAAAAATAATTACTTGGGATGCTAGGTATATTTCTTTACTGTATTAAATCTTTAGATGCACCAGTATGGGAGCAAAGAGCAATATTATTCCTACATGTGCCCCCAAATCATTTCATTTAGTAGTTAGTTGTAATCAGATTGTCTGCAGCTGTGAGTGGTCTGTGATGGAGCAGATCATGTTAAGATGGGAACAATTTCAAATAGTTCTTTTAACATGTTCATGTGTTGTTTTAGAAAGGTTGTCTCAAAAAAACTATTTTATTAAATACAATGTACTGTTAGTAGTGAACTGCTCATGACCCAACTGTGCAGCGCCTTGGGACGTCCTCCTGACGTGAAAGGCGCTCTATAAATGGAATCTTGTTGTTGTTGTTGTTCCTCAGTATATGGTTCCAGAACAAGTCTTTTGATATCGAACATAAGCATACGAGGCACATGTGCTCCATGGATGGCATAGAACTTGTCATGGGAAGCAGAAAGAGATCTAGGGGTGTTAGTTTACTCGTTGCTCGCCATGGCAAAACTGTGTGAGGCAGTAATAAATAAGGGAAACTGGATGCTGGACTAAATGCCAAATCAGTTCATATTTCCAAAAATCATACTTAAATTGCAGTGTTCTCTGGTCAGGCTGGAGCTGGATGGAGTACAGAGTGCAGTTCAGTGACTCAACATTAGGCAGCTTCCCGGTTCGTAGAAGCAACAACAATAAATTGCATTTATATAGTCCCTCCTCACACAAGGTTGTGTCCCAGAGCACTTGCAATGCAAATGAGAATTATCCCGAATGTTAGAGGAAAGAGCTATGAGCAACGATTAGCCAAGTTAGGCTCTTCATCTTGAAAAAAGATCTCTCCAAAGGGCATATTAGATTTTAGATTGGGGTTGAGAAAAACAACAATTATACCTCGGCAGTAGAGTAAGAGGCAGAGATTCAGGATAACAAAAAGCAGAGATATTTATTTACCTGGAAGATAATTAATGACTGGAACAGATTACATGAAGGCCAGGATGCGGATTTGTTTAAGAAACAGCTTGATACTATGATAAGAGGACAGTAGGGAAGATGAGATCAAATAAACTGAAGAGCATTTTCCATCCAAATTTTGTTGTTGACAGTGATCTGGTCTACTCATACAAGTTCTTCTGTGAAGTTGAAAGGTAACTTCTAGAATAAATCTTGATAACCATTAACAGCCCACAATTTGTCTTTTAGCGTATATGCATTTAATTGAATGCGACACAAATCCAGAGGTGAGACGAGCAGTGTTGTCCTGCATTGGTCCATCAGCCAAAACCCTTCCTAAGATTATTGGGCGCACTATGGATGTTAAAGAAAATGTCAGGAAACTGGCTTACCAGGTAGGTAATAAGGATGTAGTTACTAGTTACTCCTTGAAAGTTGCAAAATGTCCCGTTCTATTTTGATCAGAATTAGTTATTTATTTATAAACTGTAGGAACAGTTTATAAACAAATGGTTTACAGATTACAACATAAACAGCCAGCAGATATTGTTTGTTGAAAAAAAAATTAGAATCGTATTGTAATTGTAACAGATAAAGTTCCTGTCTGTCTGTAGCCTGGTCATGATAAAGGCTGAAGACAGAATTAGACTGAATCTGAAGCTTGATGCAAAGCACTGGAGTAAAAATCATTCAAACCTCTATCTTATCAACTATAATAATATAATAATCCTTGCATTTGATATAGCCTTATAACGTCTTTGAGATGTACTAAAGAGCTTCACACTGTAAAGTGAATTGACTGTATATTTTGTGGGCGAAACGCGGCAGCTAATTGCGCACAGCAGTGTTATTTTATTATTGTGGAACATATGATTGGGAATTATTGAGATTATAATAGGGGTTCGCGATTGGAGTGTGGACCCTGACACATACTTACCAAAATATCTAATCCTCATCTTTACATGTCCTGTTTCTGAAAGTTAAACAAACAATGTTTTAACCTTCAGGAATGAGCCCTGTCAGGATAAGGATACAGTACAATACAGATTTTTAAAGCGTCTTTCAGGTCAGAAGTGTGTCCCAAAGCGCATAAAAATAGGATAATATCTGATTTTACTTCACATTTTTTTCAATGCAAGTAGCCAGAAGCTTTAATGTTTAATGTCTGATTTATATAATACATGAAAAGCAAAACACCTACACTATCCAGGCTTGCTAGCAGATTGTAATTGGTTAGCACAGACTGTCTTTAGTTAGTTATCATTATGTACCATTTTACAATTTGTCAGTTTGGATGGCATTATCAGTTGCTGTTGTCGTGGTTTATTTTTACTGTTACCTTGCATACAATTTGTATGTAAGTTTGACACTTACATACAAATCGTACAGGGTTGTACTGCAGCCAACCCCTCCCCACCAAAAAAATTGCACTTTTCTGTTTTAGCAATTTTTTGATTTTCAAAAACTAAAGAGATTAAGGGATATGGGGATAGGGCGGTTAAATGGAATTAGATTAGAAGATCAGCCATGATCTTATTAAATGGCGGGGCAGGCTTGAGGGGCCGAATGGCCTACTCCTATTTCTTATGTTCTTATCTTTTCATTTTTTAATATTTAGATAGATACTGAATATTTTTAGTTAGAATTTTTACCTCAAATGGTGTTTAAAATGGTGGAGTCCTGAAGCTTAGTGGTTAGAGCACTCGCCTCGCAAGCAAGAGGACATAGGTTCGATTCCCGGGCTGGACGAAACGTTGGACAAGTTTCCTTACTCCACACGCCTCTTTACCTAGGAGTAAGTAGGAACCCGTTAGTTAGTCAATTGGCAGATTGCTTTGCTGGAGGTAATAATGCCTTAAAAAAAAATTTGGTCACTCAATCCTCAACTATTTGTGGAACACTGCTGTGCGCAATTAGCTACCGCGTTTCGCAAGAAAATATACAATCAATTCACTTTACGGTATCCTCTGTGAAGCACTTTGAGACATCACAAATACGTGATAAGGTGCTATATCAAATACAAGGATCATTATAAAATCTTTTATTGGGTAATGTAGCAAACTTTTAAGGTTTGTTTTCACTTTAGATCTTGGCAGAGAAGATACACATAAAGGCCTTTTCCATTGCACAAAGAGTAAAACTGCTGGAGCAGGGCTTGAATGACCGATCAGGTAAGATATGTACATGTAGCTTTGCTTTTAACAAACATGATACACACATACTGCAGGTTTGAGCAACCCTCTTACAACATGCCTGCAAAAAAACTAGGAAATTTGATAAATTGACATTGTGCTTTGAGTGTAGCACAAATGATGAAATATTGTTAACCAATAACAAATTGCATTTATTTAGCACCCTTAACACAGGGTAGCGTCTAAGAGCCTAAAGCGTTTACTATTTTTCTTTTACAAAGACGTTTAGAATAATTTCAAGACTTTTGTGCCTTGTCAAATCTATTGACTTTATTAATGTAATTTGTATTTATAGATGCTGTTAAAGAAATCGTACAGAAAAAACTGTTGCAGGCCTGGCTTCATTCAATGGAGGGCAATGTTTTAGACTTACTTCATCGCCTGGATGTTGAAAACTGTGTTGACGTTGCTGTGTCTGTACTTAATGCCACGTTTGCCCTATCCTCCATCAAGGATCTGGCAGAAAACTGTCACAAACTAGATAATAGGTGAGGTTGCTTTTTATTTTCACTTGTTAATGAATACGATTGAGCTCTTATAAAGCTAATTGGTTTGGCAGGAAATGTTGCACAGGACCAAGCTTTTCTGTTAATCAATTATGATTTCCACTTGAAGCATTATCTCAATCTTACCGTGTTAATCCTGATTATTTTGTAATTTCTGTTTCTCTTGGCAGAACTTTTTCTTAAGACAAACTTTTTCTATGCTGTGCATTTTGTGAAACTACAAAGTACATGTACTAAGATTTATAAAAAAATAAAGAAACAATATACAGTGGACAGGCACTGAGCAGCTACCTTACAAAATTGTGTCTTTATTCTTCAGAAAGGTTATTTCAGCGGAGAATCTAACATGTGAGAATGCTTTGTACTGGAGATGCCTCTGTCAGTTTATGAAGTCAAAGGGAGATGAAGGAGAAGAAGCTTTGGAAAAACTTTTGCCTGAAGCAGCCATTTATGCTGCATATCTCCTGAGGTATAGTTTTTAAAATGATTCATTTTAAATGTGCTGCTGATTACTATCAGTGACCAATGTGATATCTTAGAATACAACCCTTGCATTCTGTATTGCATGGGATTCAAGATTTTCGGTCCATTTCCATAATAGTTGATTTGATTAGTTGTGTCTCACAACCAACACAACCGAAACCCTCGTTCACACCTTTGTCACTTCCTGGCTGGACTATTCCAATGCCGTCCTCATTGGTCTCCCTGGCTCTACCATACACAAAATCCCAATTCATTCAAAACTCTGTACCCCCATCATACCAGTCCTTGCCAGGCTCCACTGGCTCCCAATTACTGAACGGATCTATTTCAAGATCCTGTCACTTGTTTTCAAATCCCTTCATGCTCTCCCAACTCCCTACCTATCCGATCTGCTTACCTCCCACTCCATCACCGCACTGCCTCCGCTCGGCTGGCTTCAGCCTCCTTTTTGTCCCTTGTGCCCTCCGCTCCGCAATCTGTGACCATGCCTTCAACCACCCAGCCCCCAAACTGGAATTCTCCCTCAATCCTTCCGCCTTGCCCTCTCCTTTGTGAAAGGCTCAGGTTGAGAGTTGGAACCCATATAGTCTACGATGATACTCCAGTGTAGTGCTGGGAGTATGCTGCATTATTGGAGGTGCCTTTCTTCAGATGAGATATTAAGCATATATCTGCCTGCCCAAGATGTTAAAGATCCCATGTCACTATTCAAAGAGAATTTAGTTTATTTCAGTGTCCTGACCAAGACTCCCTCAAATAAAGTTGATCACTGGTTCTGTTTGTGGGACATTGCTTTGAGCAAACTCTCTGCTATGTGCGATCCCAAAGTACACTCAGTGACACCACTGTACAGAATATCCTGTGAGGCGCTTTGAGATGCCATAACAACGTGATATGGCGTTATATCAAATTAAAGGTTGATTATTATTTTATCTAGGTACCTGAAAAACCTTCCTGTTCTAATGGAATCCCAGAGGGTTAATTTTGAACGGATTGAAGAATTAATGAAGAACGAATTTATCAGCCAACAGCTCATCATCCTTGTTGGTTGCCTGGATACATCAGAAGAGGGTGGCAGGTATGTTCCATTGATATAGTTTCTTTAATTGTTACAAATGTAGCATAGCTTCACATTTCCCTTCATGCTTTTTGATTTTACATGGGAACGCTATCTTTGTAGGACACGTATTGTTCAGCATGGTTACCCAATGAATAGTGTGCCTTAATTAACACTTCTGTGTGGATGCATTCGGTTGACCCTCACTTATTCCAAGCAAATGGATTATATCCCCCATATTCAAACTTTTTTCTCTGTTTTATAGAAAGTGGCTTCTATCTATGTTGCAAGAAATTCTGGTGCTGCCAAACACACCAAACTCTCTTGTTGCATTACTGATAGAACAATTGCTGCTAATTCAAAAGGATGAAGACAGAAGGATTCGGCTGGTAAGAGAGTACATTTTGGGGAATATTATTATAGTTCGGTGCAATTTTGTATTTATTAATATTAGAAGGAGCAATACTAGTCACTTCGTATCAACTTTTTTGGGACCTCGTATCAATTTGTTTACTGTTGTTGGTTTTGATTTGCTCAACTCAATGTTTCATTAGTGTTATTTTTTCTGGACTTCTAAACTTAATAATTGTCATTTCCTAGCAAAGAATTAAAGGCCTGCATCAGGTCACCTCACCCTCTGTACTTTTATTTTTATAAAGGAATCTACATTTCTGAGAAAATTCTTACTTTCATGGGAGATTCACTTTAGTTTAGTGACCGTATTTATAGTTGAACAGAGTAGTCAATTTGCACACATCTCACGTGTGTGAAGTAAATTACCAATTTTATCTACAGGATTTGGACCTGCACACTAGGACAAAACTCCCTTTTTTTCAAATAGTGTCTTTAATAGAGCATATTTAACTTTGACTTGAAAAGACAAGATGGGACAGATTAATTTAATGGCTCATTTGAAGGATGACACCTCCAATGATGCCAGGCTTTCTGAACTGCATTGGAGTGTCAGCCGAGATTATGAGTTGAACCCAAGATCTTCTGACTTGGAGACATTCGTGCTGCTAACTGAGCTAAGATGACACCTCTGTGTGATATACTTTTAGTGCTGTTCTAAACTTTTTTTTCACAACCTTGAATGTCGGTCCTTTTGTCCTGCCTTGGCATCTCTGAAAGCTGTTATGGGTTTACTTTCACCTGTTACACATCATGTTTAATTTCCTTACACCATCAAGTGCTTCATTACAGAAAAAATATCAATTTGGAGGGAGGCCCAGGTTGCTCGACTACATCATTTCTTAGTAAAGGATTGAATGAGACATAGAAAAAACTTAATCGTGATAATCGTTGTATTTGTTATAGTGCCTTACCACGTCATTGAGATGTTTCAGAGTGCTTCACAGAATATACTGTAAAGTGAATTGACTATATTTTGTGGACAAGACAGGCTTAGACAATTGCACACATCACACGAGCAGCCGTGGATTGAGTGACCAAATTTTTTTTTTTTGGAGGGATTATTAAGCAATCTGACAATTGACTAACAATCAGGTTCAACACAACAACATCAAAATTACATTTATAGAGCGCCTTTCACGTCGGGAGGACGTCCCAAAGCGCTGAACAGTCAGCTGTCGGGGCCCGAGCATGGGGGAGGGGTGGTGTAGGGGTGAGGGAAGGCAGAGAGGTGGGACAGAGACCAAAGGCACTGTCGAAGAGAAGGGTCTTCAGACCGGCCTTGAAGGAGGCAAGGGAGGAAGCGAGGCAAAGGGACTGTGGGATGGAGTTCCAGAGTGAGGGGCAGAGAGGCTGAAAGCCCGGGCACCGATGGTAGGGAGGGGTGGGTGGAAGACATGGAGCAGACCGGAGCCTGATGAACGGAGGGAGCGGGCAGGTTGGTAGGGAGTCAGCAGTTCAGAGAGGTAGGAGGGGGCGAAGCCATGGATGGCCTTAAAGGTGAGGACGAGGATCTTGAACTCGATCCTCTGGGGGATGGGGAGCCAGTGGAGTCGGGCGAGGGTGGGAGTGATGGGGTCGCGGAGCCTGGTGCGGGACAGTACATGAGCTGCAGAGTTTTGGATGATCTGCAGCTTGTGAAGGGAAGAGTTGGGAAGGCCAATGAGAAGGGAGTTCCCGTAATCGAGCCTTGAGGTGATGAATGCGTGGGTGAGGATTTCAGGATTTCTGAGGGTTGAGGCAGTGGCGGTGTCTGGCAATGTTGCGGAGGTGGTGGTAGGCAGTGCCAGTTATGGCGCGGATATGGGGGAGAAAGGACAGTTCAGGATCAAACTAAACACCCAGGTTCCTGACTGGTTTAGTGAGGTTGAGTGTGCAGCCGTGGAGGCTGATGCTGCCAGTGCTTGAGTTACGGAGGCGGTGGCGCGAGCCAATCAGGAGCGCCTCGGTCTTACTGACGTTGAGTTGGAGAAAGTTGGTCCTCGTCCAGGACTTGATGTCGGACAGGCAGTCGGTCAGGACGTCAGTAGTCCTGGAGTTCAGGGTGGAGTCAGAGAGGTGGAGTTGGGTGTCATCCGTATACATGTGGAAGTTAACCCCATGTCTGCGGATGACATCATCAAGGGGGAGCATGTAGAGGGTGAAGAGGAGGGGACCGAGGACAGAGCCCTGAGGAACACTGCACGAGACAGTGCGGGGGCTGGAGGAGAAGCCGTTTGCCGCGACGAAGTGGAGGCGGTGTGAAAGGTAGGACCTGAACCAGTCAAGGACAGAACTTTGAAGATTGAGGTGGGAGGAGAGGCGGTGGAGGAGGATTGAGTGGTCCACGGTGTCAAAGGTGGCGGAGAGGTCGAGGAGGAGGCAGAGGGAGCCCTGGTCACACATGGTCAGGATGTCGTTTGTGACCTTGACCAGAGCAGTTTCCATGCTGTGGGCAACACGGAAACCCGGTTGGAGGGGTTCATGGAGGGAGTGAGAGGAGAGGAAAGAGCAAAGCTGGGAGGTAACAGCTCTCTCAAGGACCTTGGAGAGGAAAGGGAGATTGGAGATGGGCCGGTAGCTAGATAGCTGTGATGGGTGGAGGGAAGGTTTTTTCAAGGTGGGGGCGTTCCTCTTACAGCTAGGTAAACAGGTGTGTGGAGTAAGGAAACTTGTCTCAGGTTTTGCCCTGCCCAGCAATTGAACCCAGGTCCTCGCTTATGAGGCGAGTGCTCTATCCAATATGCTACAGGACTCTATAGCTCCACATTTAGGAGCTTCTTGCCTTTTTGTAAGGAGTCTTGACAGAAAGGAGGGAAGAAATAGTAACCATAGTTTTATATATCGACTTTTAGAATAGAACTGAATTGTATACATATTTGGGCAGGTTTAAATTTAGATTTTAATTTGTACAGGTTGCAGAAATAATATCGGATGTTCGAGAGCCAATTGTTAGTGTTGATGTACCAATTAATGCTGATGAGCAAAGAAAGCGACAAGTTAAGGTAATTTTTTTTATTTTGAAGGAAGGAATCATAATGCATGCTTTGGAACATATGAAAAACTTTAAAACAAAGTGGTGTATTTTTGAACAACATTTTTCTCGTTGTGTTTATGTACAACTTACGTTTTTACATGCACCACCATATTTGGGAATGAATTAGTCCTGAAATACCCATCTGCAGGTTTCATGAATCTTAAAATGTTATGCAGAGTTAACTTATTTCTCCCTTCACCAAAGAATATGCTTTTGGAGATAACTAAAATTTCTAAATAATTTGATTTAGTTACAGTTTCTGAAGAACTGATCTGTTTTTTCAATTATGTAAGCACAGGAATCCCCTCAATTTCTTATTGTAATGCAAATTTAAATCTAGGGCTAATGGCTATTACAAATAAAGGATAACTAATTTTTCATTTGCTTAGTCTTATAATATCACCAAGTGACACAATCAACTTCATGTATCTTAATTATGTGTCCTTATCTCACTTTAGAAAGTTTGCATGCCAAGGAAAGGCAAACAATTGCTGCAATAACACTGAAGTCCATGTTGCTGCAGGTTTAACCTATTCCCAAGCTAAAGGCTAAGGAAATACTTGTAAAGGTAGACAAGTTGAACTATTATAAAGAAAAACATAATTAGATTGGAAGATCTACAATAGAATCTCACTAATCCAGTCACTCAAGGGACTGGGCAAAAGTTGATACCGCGTTTGAAGCGGAGGAGGGCACTGTAGCGGCGACAATCAATGACCGTTGTCCTGAATAGTGAGATGCCCGGTTTACTGAAGCTGACAGACCTTTTAACATTGACCATGAAAGAGACTGAAAATATGCCCGCAATTGTGAGGTGGCTGGATTATCGAGGTGACCGCAAACTGGGTTTTCTACTGTAGTGAAGAAAGTAGAATACTAAAATGTTACACTGATTTGGGTATAACAGATGCTTTCTGGCTTTGGTATTGTAGCTTGCTGATGTCAAAGTTCAATTGATTGAAGCAAAGCAAGCATTGGAGGAGAGCATAGCTTGCCAAGACTTCACTCGTGCTTCAGAGCTGAAGAAAAACATTGAAGAATTAGAAAATCGCAAGATGGAATTAGTGAAAGAAGCTGAACAGCCAGAAATCAAAGAAGTTCGCATTGAAAAGGTAATTTAAAAAAAATTGCAATTTGCAGCATTTTACCATATCGCTTAATCTTCCCATATCAACCTGTCTCCCCCTCTGCTCAGCGGGCTCCAGCCTGCTTCACGTAGCCCGCACGGCCTGCCCCACTATCGGTAGTCGGGCCTTCAGCCTCTCCGCCCCCACAATTTGGACCTCCACCTCACAGTCCCTTCGCCTCGCTCCCTCCTTGCCTTCTTCAAGGCACGTCTCAAGACCCTCTTCTCGAACTGCACTTTCGGACACCCTCCTACCATCCCTGCCCTCAACCCTCCCTAATCCCAACCTCCCTGGCTCGGGTCCAAATCCCTGACTGTCCAGCGCCTTGGGAAGTCCGCCCGGCGTGAAACAACAGCAACAAAATTACATTTGTAAAGCGCCTTTCACTTCAGGAGGACGTTCCAAGGCGCAGAACAGTTGGGGACCAGGACCCGAGTGTGGGGGGGGCAGGGTTTGGATGAGGGAGGTTAGAGAGGTAAGAGGGCGGCTGAAGGCACGGTCGAAAAGGAGGTCTTGAGTCGTGTTTTGAAGGAGGCAAGAGAGGGAGCAAGGCAAAGGAATTGTGGAATGGAGTTCCAAAGGGTGGGGGCAGAAAGGCTGAAAGCCCGGCCATCAACAGTAGGGCAGGTCGAGCGGGGTAATGGAGCAGGCTGGAGTCTGCTGAACGGAGGGAGCGGATGTTGTTTGTCACCTTGACCAGAGCAGTTTACATTCTGTGAGCAGCATGGAAACTCGATTGGAGGGGCTCGTGAAGGGAGTGGTAGGCGAGGAAGGAGCGAAGCTGACAAGCAATAACTCTTTCAAGGACCTTGGAAAGAAAAGGGAGGTTGGAGATGGGCCAGGAGTTAAAAAGCAGGGGATGGGTCCAGGGATGTTTTTTTCAAGATGGGGTGATTATAGCTGTTTTTAGACAGGTGGGAACGATGCCAGATGATAAGGAGAGAATGATGGTGTCGGAAAGTAGAGGGGTGAGGAGGTAGAGCTGGGAGATAAGGCGAGGGGTGGGGATGGGGTCAAGGGAGCAGATGGTGTTTCATGCTGGATATGGTGGTGATGAAAGAGGAGGGGGAGACAGGTTCGAAGATATGGAGGGAGGGATGGGTAGGGGTCAGAGTGTGGAGAAGAATGGCGGTTGGGAGAGTGGAGGCAGCTGAATGGATCCCCTCGGTTTTGGACTCAAGGAAATTCAGCATCTCCTCACAGTCAGAGTTTGAGGAGAGAATGAGTGAGGTGTGGGAGGGTGAACGGAGAAGCTAGTTGGTGGTGGCTAGGAAAGGCACTATACAAATATTATTTTGTATTGTATTTGCACTTCCCAGTATCTGTCTCCCTTTTAAAAATTCCAATCAATCCTTTACACATTTTTTTATGTTGAAGAAATATTTCACTTGCACTGCTTTATTTCTTACAGGATGATCCAGAAACGATGCTAAAATGCCTGACGATATGTTGCGGGCTTCTTAAACAGATGGCTATTACAAAGGGAATAAACTCAACTATGAATGGTATCGCTGAGTCTTTGGTATGCTAATTCACTAATGTTTCACCTATAATCTTCATTTTTTGGCTGTTAAAAAGTATATAGATAAAGACGGAAGTTATCTCATTATTTGAAAAGAGAGTGATCAGTTACCGTAACATCTGTCGTGAGGAAAATGCTTAAGAGCATTATATGGTATGCTATCAGTGTATTGGAGGAGGACACAGTTGGAAATATTTAGCAAATTTTCTGATATCAAGCTGTGTGTGGCAGGTTAGTAATAAAGGATTATATAATATTAGCATTCAAGAAGATCTGAGACAATTAAGCAGATGGACCAAGCACCAGGACTACAAACAAGACTCAAAATACTGCCTAGCCTTAGACATTTAGTCTTGAAATTTAAGATTGAGTAGAAATTCTTCAATTCAGTTTATTCAAATTGTGCACAATTTTATAAAATTCAGTCTTACTAAATGTAATAATTTTCAAAAATTCAGTTTGGTCTTAAATTTTAATTCAAAATACTATTTAAGGTAACACTGGGTGGAATTTCAGGCCTTTAAAGTTCCCAAGTGTTTGTAACTAAACTATTTTCTTTCACATTAGTAATGACAACTTGGCTATAAAGAAATGATGTGTCAAATTGTGCGATGTTAATTTCAATGCCGGTATAACATTATTTGCTAGATAAATTTGTTCCAACAATTTTTGCAAAGTATGTTTCAAATTATATGTGCTCATTTTCGTGCCCAAATTGTTTAAATCTGTGATTTAATTTGGAAACTCTATTGTGATCTGGTGGTGTAAAAACCTACAAGATGAAAAAGACTAGTTAGCACTTGTACCTCAGCTAGTGTACGCTCTCCAGTTTAGAAGAGCATTCGAAAATGTGGAAGCTGCCAGTGGTCAAACCAGGAATCTTGCTGAAATTTCAGTTTTACATTGAGAAAAAGTAATGTATTAATTTTTAATATATAAATTGAGAGGATTACTATTTTTAATCAGTTTTGGGGAATAATCTTGCATCATCTTTAACATAGAATTATGTAAATGATTCACAGGTCATTGCTGTCAAGTGTAGTGACTATGTAGATTAAATAAAATTAACTTCATGGCTATTTGCGCACATTGTGTGAAAATTGGCTGCTGCATTTTTCTACAAAATAGTCATCACACTTTACAGCATATCCTGTGAAGTGCTTTCAGATGTCCACCTGACATGAAAGGTGCTATATCAGATGTAAGGATTGCAGCAATTTGTGCAATCCAAAAATGTCCTGCAAACAAGTGCTGCCGGAGGAATAATGACAAGAAACTGGGAGAAATTCTCTTTTTCAGTTGTGTCTTTGGATCTTTAATGTCTACGTTAACAGACAAACAGGACCTTGGTTAATGTCTCATCCAAAGGACAGCACTTCCAACATTGCAGCAACAACAACAACAATAAAATTACATTTGTAAAGAGCCTTTTACGTCGGGAGGACGTCCCAAGGTGCTGAAAGTAGGCTTGCAAAACTGGAGTAGGCTCCAGGTTGTAAGCTCAAAAGCTCCAATGTGGGCTTGAACCAACCTTGTGACTCAGTGACTGGAGTGCTAAAGACCGAGCCAAGCAGGCACATTGAAGGGATTTTGTTTTTATAAATATGGAACTTTCTTTTGCTTTCAGATACTTCCAGGCATTGCAAATATTAATCCTGCTGTACGAAACATGGCAGTACTCTGTTTAGGTTCATCTGCACTGCAAAACAAAGAATTTGCTGTTCAACACCTGCCACTGCTATTACAGGTAATTAATATACATAGTATAATATAGCAAAACTAATATAGCTTGTCATGGTATGCAGGGTATCCCTCTGGTAATGTGGTGTCTGGAGTCCATAAAATAAGAACCATAAAATAATGGGTTCAGAAAAGAAAATGTCCTTCCTTCTCAGATAGTAAGCCTGACAGTCACTGCAGCTGCTCTCCCGAGCGTTTCTAACATTGGAAATACTTGCAAGAATGGTTGCCAGAATGCCCAGCATCTTGTTCGCATTTGTAGGAAGCTGGAAGTGTACTGAGCCGATGAGGTTACCTGTGGATTAAGTGTGAGATCTTTGAATCTGATTGGTTTAGATTGACACGAGGCAGAGAGTGTAACCAGTAGATCATCAAAGGTAGCATCTTGTCAGTTTCCAATATAAACTGAAATGTTTTTAATTTTGTGGTCTACATGTCAACTTAAGCTAAATGCAGTTAATGGCCATGTGTCTGGAATGGGTCAACAGAACAGGAGTGCCTCATACCTGTCTTTGTCATTTTGTGACTATCCATTTTAATGCGAAGCAGAACTTATTAAAACAGAACTATTGTAACTTGCTTTTGTATCTTTTAAAGATTGCACAACTTGATGAGGCCAAGGTGAAGATCAGTGCATTGGAGGCAGTATTCGATATTCTGCAGGTATTTGGGATTGAGGCTTTCAAACCCAGAAATGATAAACTGCAAGAAACACCAAGTGAAGAACTAGAGAATGAAAATGAAAAATCAAAAGCAGAGGAAGGAGTTGAAGAAGAATCAAAAGAACCTGAAGTGGAAACTGATACAGTCAACAGTATTCTCACACTGCTCACAGGATATTTGGACAGTGAGGTACATGTTACTGAATGCAAATCAGATTCTGCATAATTGAAAGAAACTGTTCATCTGGCAATTTGTGGGACTTTGTTATTTGCAAAATAGCTCCTGTCTTTGCTAACTGCATCCCCCCCACCCCCAATGTTATGTACTACACTTCCAAAATGGACCCAAACATTTTTTAAAAAAATGGTGGAACTGTAATGCTATTTGTGTATGACTATTTAAAAATAGCAAATTCACATTGGAATTATAACCTGTTAAGGCTACCAGGATAGGAAGAGGGGACAAACCTGGAACCTTATAAGCAAATCGTGCTCAACTTCCTTTGTTTGAAGAATTTTTATTTTTTTTTTGAAAATATTTTTGAAGAATAATAATCATTGCATTTAAAATAGCGCCTTCCACTTTGGGAGGACGTCTCAAAGCGCTTCACATGATTGACTGTAAATTATAATGACTGTATTTGTAGGCACCCATTCTATACACAGCAATGTCCCACAAACAGACAGCCATGGAGTGAATGGCAGTATTATTATTTATTTTATGGCCATCTGATCAGGCACACTGTTTAGTGCCTCCAATAATGCAACACTTTCACTGTATTGGAGTGTTGGCCTAGATTGTGTAATCTAACTCCCAATGTGGAGCTTAAACCCACAACCTTCTGTCTCACAAGCAAGATTTCTGCCAATTGAGCCAAGCGAACATCAGCTTATTTTTTGTAAATTCATGATACACTAACAATGTAAACTCTACAACAGCAAGAAGGAAATTAAATACTTGCCTTCTTTGAGTGTTTCAAGAGGTGGAATACATTTTGTGTTTAATCTTGAAAATATTCTTTGCATTTTAGACAACTGATCTCAGGACTGTAGCTGCTGAAGGCTTAGCAAAAATGCTTTTTGCGGGAAGGCTTGTTAGTCCCAAACTGCTTTCTCGCCTTATTTTGTTATGGTACAACCCTGTGACTGAAGAGGACACTCGCCTTCGACATTGCCTGGGAGTTTTCTTCCCTTTATATGCATATGCTAAAAGGTTTGGACTTTAATATTATTTTAAGAGTTCTTTCTAACTTCTAGAAACATAAATGTGAAGTAAGTGTAAGATTTGTTGAGGTTTGTTTCAGGGAAGATGAGGTGAATGTAGGCGTGAATTTACACACCTTGAATAATATTTTTGAAAAGAAAAATATCTAACTGACTAAACACTCTGGGATGCTATCCGGCTTGAAGGGTGCTATTTAAATGCAAATTATTGTTGTAGTTGAAATGCAATGTGCAGTTTCACTCTCTTGCATTGAATGTATTAAAATCAATCATTACATTTTAATGGGGATTTGGGAAACTATTAAAAAAGGATAGTGTTAGAAATTTGAAAGACATTCTGGAGCTGGATATCTCTTGGGCTTGTAGTGCAATCTTCAATTATTAATCTACTGCTGTACAAAACATTTAATCTCAGAATTTGAAACTCTCTTCCGTACAAAGGTGTTGCATTTAGCTAGAATTTGTTTTTTGTTTAAATAAAAATATAACCAAGATTGAAGGCTTGTAACCATGTTTCTTGCAGGACAAACCAAGAATGCTTTCTGGAAGCTTTTCTACCCACTCTGAGGACCCTGTTCTATGCACCAGCTTCTTCCCCTTTAGCTGATGTTAATGCAGTTAATGTGGCAGAACTTTTGGTGGATTTGATGAGATCCAATCCAGTTAATTCACAAGACAAACAAATACAGGATTACCAGGTGGGGAATACTCCTTAACACAAGTTTATATATAGTTTGGACCCTTTTTTGGAGACGAAACGAAATGTGTTACACTGACCTTTTACCAAGTGGAACAAAACACATTCTGTTTTCACATTCTCTGTTTCACCCCAGCAATTTTTGAACTCCTTTGATGCAGAACCTATGCAGTGGTGCATGTTCTGTATTTAAATTATAACTATTTTCTCCATTTGCTTCAAACTACATGGTCTTCTTTGCAAACTTAGACAAGATCATGGGGATCTTGAATGAATTAGTTTATTTTATATATATTGCTTGTTTTTTCTTAAGAATCGTGTTTCATTTCACTTAGGAGTTCACACTACATGATAGTCTGGCTGTGAAGATTTGCATGGAAGTGTTGAAGGATCCAAACTCGCCAGATATTCGAACTTTGGTTAAGACTCTGAGTTGTCTTGAACTCAGTGTAGGAACATCACCGTGCACACAACACCTGCGAATTCTCCTGGATCAGATAATTGAGGTCAGACTCTTTCATTTTGTATTTTGTATCAGATAAAATTGGTCATTCACTTCATTTAGGTGTCAGTCTAACTCAATTGGTAGCACTCTTATGTCTGATTTGGAAGATCTGGGTTCAAGCCCCCTGTTAGCACTTTAAACTTACATAATTAACTGATACTCCAATACAGTGGAGGGGTGCCTTGCATTGTTGCTGGTATTGTCTTCAGCTGAGACATGACATTGAGGTCCTGTCTGCCTGTTCAGTGGACATTAAAGGCTCCATGGCACTATCCAAAAGGAAAAGTGGGTTTCTCCCGGTGTCTTGGCCAACAATCCCTTGGATCATTGAATAACACAATGCTAACCTAGAGGATAGATATCAAGCCTTCAACATAGGTGTAAGTACTCGGATTGTTTTTTGCAGTGGAAAGAAGCTGTTTCTATTAAACACACATTGTGGAGTCCTGTAGCTCAGTGGTTAGAGCACTCACCTTGCAAGCCAGAGACCTGGGTTTGATTCCCGGCAGAGCGAAACATTGGGCAAGTTTCCTTACTCCACACGCCTAATAATAATCCCTCAAGAAAAAAAACCCAATAAAATTGGTCACTTCAATCCATGACTGTTTGGGACACTGCTGTGCGCAATTGGCTGCCGCTTTTTGCCCACAAATATGCAGTCAATTCACTTTACAATATATTCTGTGAAGCGCTTTGAGACGTCTAGAAGATGTGAAAAGCGCTATATCAAATGCAAGGATTATTATATTATTGTTGATGTCACTGCACTGGAGCTGGGGAGGATTTTTTTCATCTGGTGTTGTCTGTAATACTTGTATTTAAATTTTTTCATCAGAATTACTTTCATGCATATCTGGAAAATATAAGACCACTTTTGAGCAATCTAAGCATTGTGTGTATCTGGTTATGAAGTTTAAATTGAGATGATTGATAACTATTTGATCAAAATATTAAAGCTATGATTAGAATTTCATATTACTCGGGTATCTACAGTTGGAGATGATGCGCTTTATTTTCTGTGTTTGGATCAGTTAACATATATACTTGGTCTGTCTCTCTACTATAGGAAATAAAGGACAAAGTAAGTCAAAGAGTTATTGAGAAAGTCAAGAATTGCTTAAATGGAGGATCTCGAGAAATGGAGAAGAGAAAATGTGACACTGCAGTAAAGCAAGCAAATCACAATGGTAAGGGTATGATCTCTTTCACACAATCACTTTTATAAGTACTAAGAATCCAAGTGGGTAATGGACATTTTTAGCCTTCCTGGGAAGACCTATTTAAAAACAAGTTTTAGCCTCCCACATGTCTAAAATACACCAGTATAAAGCTTCTAAAATGTTGTAAGTAACTTTTTAACAGTAATATTAGCCATACAGAGATTTTAAAATAAATCCTTTCAGTAACACCTTAAATGTAATTTTTTTTAATCTAATGTACCCATATCAAATGCAAGGATTATTTTCAATCTCTATTAGACTATTTCTAACTACAGATTAATGCCAGGGAATATCAATTGGCCTAGAAGCTGCTCTTCTCAGGCTGGTCTATAGGCTTCTGTCTGAAGGACACATATAGACAGAGTTCCAAAATTGTGGTATTTATTCAAACAATGGTGATCTGAGTGAGCCCACGAATTACTAAGGAATCTCACCGATATCATTGGTTCTGCAGTGAGTGTTTTGAGTAATGATGGCAATGCATATTGGAGGCCCATGTGCTTTCAGTAAACAACAGGCTGGATTTTGTTCTCATGAGGTGCCATATATCTATTGATATGAGATTGTGCAATATGGTAAGGCTCAAGGGAAACCCACCTGATTGCATTCATCGATTTCCATGAAGCATGTAGGTATAGATTAAAAGATACAAAGGGCACCTGTCCCAATTGTTGATTCAAATCAGTATCTGGGGTTGTGGTGGACACTGAACTTTGCTTGGACATTGTTCTTCGGGTTTACGCTGATAATTTTGGAGCAACGTTTTCAAAATCAAAGCAGCAAGAATGTAATGCAATATACATTTATATAGTGCCTTTTATGAGCGAGATGATGCTCAACACAGCTGGCTGGGCAGAGGAGAGGGCAGAACTGAAGAGCGTAGCAGAGGGGAGGAGACTGGCTGAGGGGACTGAAAGCAAGGTCATAAAGATAATTCTTGAGGCAAGCTTTGAGAGTGGGGGCAAGTCGGTAGGCACTCTAGGTGGGATAGGAATATAAACCGTGTAGATAAGAATCTGTTTAAAGTGAAAACTTGTAGAATAAAGAAAGGTAGTGTATACACAAACAAAACATAGGTAGAATGCAAGATGACCGTATGGAGGAAGTAATAAGCAAATTAATAAAATGTTTTCAGTATTGTTCCACACAACAGGAAGAAAGGGACCTAGGAACTCAATTGTGTTGCTGTTCAGATTTCATTTCCAGCCCAGGCCTCACCCATGTACTTAAATAACCCAGCTGGGAGAATAGATTTTCTCTCACACTGAGGGTGTGCACTGTACAAGTGAAATATAAAATGCAATACCAGTTTATAAATTAAGAATCAAATTTTTTTGAATTAAAAATTTCATGCAATCTTCACAACTCAAATAGTCCTGTAAATATTATACTCTTTTATTCACAGCTGAAGAAAATTCTCCGATTACTCTGAATTCAGATGTTTCAGAGGTACAAAGTAATGAAACTGGAAAAGGCAAAGCAGCAAAAGAACTGAGCAAGTCCACCAAAAAAGGTTTTTTAATTTCTATTTTTCACATCCTGTGGATGCCAATAATAGGCAATATATCAAAAAATAGAATGTGTTTACATAGGACCCAATACTGTCTTTTACTCAATTCTTCTATTACTATTAGTTACATCGCTGGACAGCTCCTTTGTGACACTTTTTGTATGACTGTAGTTGGTGGTGCTGTTAAATAGTACACTTTACCACTTCTGGCTCCTAATATCAGCACTATGCACTCTCAGCTCTGGTTTGACCAGGTTAGTTGGGAGTGTAAAGTTGCCCTTTTTTGCCTCAACCTTAGAAGTGCATGTATTGCAGAAGTTGTTCTTTGATTCTCAGATCACCACAGGCTACCTACCTTGTCAACCTGTGGTTCACGCAATCCCCTGGCTTTCAAATCGGCATTAATAGCACATTTCCCAGTGACCATTTCAATGGGAACCATTGGCATTTGACACAATGGAACTGACTGGCCTTCTTCCCTGTGGTTTAAAAAAAATCTATGCTTCTTCTCTGCCTTCCTCTATTGCATGACTTTTCAGAATGTGAAAACTTCACAGACTGAAATTAAGATCTCAAAGTAACCAACTATTCCATTGGAATACACAACTATTTATATAATGTCTTTCACATCGGAAAGTAGTCTCAAAGCGCTTCACACAACTGACTGAGAGCCCTCGGTAAGTTTGGAGGGAAAAAGGTGACAAAGGTTGAAAGAAAGTACTTAAGGTAGGTTTTAAAAGGGGAGAGGTAACTTGAACACAAGTCTGAAGATCTTGAATTCGATTCCCTGGGGGACGAGAACCAAATGGAGCTGAGCCTGGATGGGGGAAGATAGGCTCTATCCAGCCTGGAGCAGGAGAGGACGTGAGCTGCAAATGTGTAGCTTGTGTAGACGGAGCTGGGCAGTTTGACAAGTCGGATGTTCGAAGAGACAAGCCTGGGCATGATTGACATTGTCAATGAGGGTTTGGCAGCCCAGTGGAAGAATAAATAGAAAGGTAGAATATTTCTGCACAGGAGAAATTTGCTCCATCTATTTCTATTGTACAAATATTATCTTAGAACAGCTTGATTAAAGTGGATTTGTGTGTCTTGTGTTTTCTCTTTAGGACGAGGTAAACCTTCAACAACCAAGACTGTAACCAAAAGCCGAAGAACAAGGAGAGCAGCTGGTTCCTTAGATGATAGGTAAGTATAGTTAGCCAGTGCCCTGTGAATTGAAACTTCTGGAGTTTCTATTCCTAAAATTGATTGACTCGCTGTCGTGGTGGAGTTAGCTAATCTTACATCAATAAGTGCTGAGCTCCTGCTCTTGGTTCCTGTCTAGTATGTCTTGTATCTCCAACAATGTAGTGTTTCCCCATTACTGCTCTGGAGTGTAAGCCTCCACTGAGCTGATGGGCCCCATCTACATGGGACTTGGAAAAAAAGTAAGTGGTTGGTATGTTAGCACTCCATGATTTTATTGCATTGTTTTCTGCTTTTCTGAATTCTTTATTTGATATTTGCTTGTATTTCAGTGATGCCCGAGACTTTGTAACTCCAACTTCTGAAGTTGTAAAAAGACCTTCAAGACGAGCAAAAACAGTTGCACTGGAGAAAACCAAAATGAACCTGTCTGAACTGCTGAACAAAGAGGCTAATTGATCTCAGAATTTAATTCACTAAACTCAATCTATTATGTAGTCTTGATAATCAAACATTTTGGCAAATTCTCTCAATTTGCATGCTTTTCTATAGGCCACTTACTTATCTTGTCAATTTCTGTTTTAGATACTGTTAGTTATTTGAGGAAGAAAAATTAAGTCCATGTTTTTATTTCACCTTTTCCTGCTGTAAAGTAGATGCTCTCATACTTTTAGTTAATATTAAGTGATGACTTCAGTTGGATATAGTATATTGCTGTGTCATACATCTCTGCTACGGCCTTTTTGACATAAGTGAAGAATGTTCATCTTGTGTTGATAACGAGGTTTTAGGTGGGTGATGCTGGTAACGCCTGTTTGGTTTTTAAAATTTCCTTAACATTAGCCCCCCACTCAACATTTTAATGGGTACCTGTATGAGCTGTAAGGGTCCATTAAATGAATTAAATGGCTTGATAATTAGTATCATTCCTGATATTTATCATTTGAAAATTGCAATGCTAGGTTTATAAAGTAGCCCCTGACTTTCAGGAATGCTTACTTTTTTTTACTTAAAGCAGCTGTCACCTTATTATTTATGGGGCAGTACCCATTACTCTAGCTGAGTAATTTTACATGTTCACTTATTGTTTAAAGCTTGCACCAAAAGGTGCCTGGACTTACCTTCTATCAAAGGGTTTCTTCTATTGGCCAGCAATTTTATTTCAGGTAAAGATGTAATTATTAAATTATAATTGTTTGTTCAGTCGAGTATCTGACACACACGGAACTCAAAAGTATCCAAGCACTGAGATTCACATTTGGACACCACATTGTATGGAATGTGTGATTCTCTCTCTCCCAGGAGGATCTTGCCCTACTTACCTAATTTCTAGGAAGTATTGGTTGCAAATTGATGAGACTCCAGGCATGGGTTCCCCAGAAAGTGTGCTGGGATACTGCTGGATTTTAACCAGCTAAATTATAAGCTTCCTGCTGCCTTCCAGCTAGGACCACCCTATACATTAGGCATTTGCTTACTTTCATTACAAGGTTTGTATGTTAGTTATTAATCAGTGTGTGCAACTTTTTATACTTTGGATTTCAATAAATATTGCAAATTTGCTCTTGGTGCATGAACATTTTTGAGGATTAAAGCAATTGGAGACATTGCATAAATTCCATCATTCCGTTCTTTCTCTTGACTTCAACGGTATCTTAGGCTTCTATTATATTGTAAGCAGCAACACTTGGCATTCAGAATCTGATTTATCAACTTTTCCTCCATGTCACACTATGTTGTATTTTCATCTTATTAGCCAAATGTGTTCTATTGTCCGTGCAAAAAATGGGCCTGCAATGTCTAGATATCAAACATTGAGGGAGTCTAGAATTTCACCCGGATCGTTCAGATTGCCTCTGAACCTCCAAAGCTATTTTATCATAATAGACTGCTTCACTGTTGGGCACTCAGATTATTCTGAGTATTAAGACAAATGGGTTCAGTTGGTTGAGGTGTATTTAAAGACTCCATTGTGGAGGCATAGCCCTTGACTAATATGATAGAGATGCCCATTTCCTGTCAGTCAGGTCCCATGATAGCCTCACATGAAGCAGAACACTGCCTTGTGGACTGATGTCCAATACATACCAGGATAGGAACATTATCCTAGACACTACAGATGTGTGACAGTAAAAGCCATACGAAGTGAAAAATCATTTATAAGTGCTCCATAAGACTGCTTTTTTNAAAAAAAAACTCAGTATTGTTGATTCAGTCCTGCTTTATTTCATCAAATACTATTTACAGAGTCAAACGTCTTATAAAATATTTCAAATAAGATTTAAAACATTTCATAGAAAAATATTTTTGCAGTGTACATACATATTCCTCAAATATTTCTGACCAGGAATTTCTTTTGGTAAAAGCAGTACACTGACAGTAGCACCGAGATCAATATGACAGCAAATTTTCTTCAGAAGCTTTCACAGTTTAAAGGTGTACCAAAGTGACCCGAAAAGGAAACTGTCATAGAATATACAGACAGTACAGAATCAAGATAAAATGTTTCTCATTCAACCTAGAATATAATTAATATTCTCTTTTGTGGTACAAATAGAAATAAATAAAACTAAACAATGATTTACTGAACTGACTAGCAGAATGAATAACAAACCTCCATTTCATACCTCCGTCATACTCATGTAGATATCACCAAGGCTTATTTTGCCAGTTAAGCAGACAAAATAAAGTCAAAGAGATACCCAGCAAATTTGATATTTTTCTTGAATTTTCATTGAATCAATTATTTTAAATGTCACCCAAGCATCAGTTTGTTAAAACATTATTTTGTCTTTAATTATATAAAGGTTCATTATTTAAGCCTTACAATATTTTAAATTGAATTTCTTAACATTAATATAGTGTTTGTTAAGTGAAAATAGTAAATGTTGTACTGAACACTTATTTGAGATATAGAAACAGTACTCAATCTTTGTAGTTCAGCAAATGTTGATTTTACATTGTGAAGCATTCACAGAAATACAGTATAGCAAAAAATTATGATGCTCTTTGGATGACCCAGAAAACAATGTTTTAATAGCAGTTTGAGACCAGCTAAATATATTGAAAGTATGAATGTCACAGCATCGCTGGTGGATGTGGCTAATTGGATGCTGCTATACATATAAAGGACTCGAAAACATTTGACAAATGTGCCTCATTGTGACAGTGAAAGATTGTAGAATTAAGTTGAATTCAGATTATATTGAATAAGATATTGGATAAATGATAGGAAGATGAAGGTGGTTATCAATGGTAATAATTATAATGACTTCAATTAACAAATTATAAGTAGTTGGGTTAATTTTTATGAGCATATGAAATTGAGTGAGAAACCCATATGTTCCATGGAAAGAAATTATTATAAATAGATTTAGAGAATAACTGATTAAGCATTTAATGACATGAAAAAATAATGCATTTCATAAGAGCAAATAAACCTGGATGTAAGAATTAACCAAACATGAAAGTCTACATTTGTGGGGCAGTAATTCCCAAACAGATGGTTGGATTGCATACGCAAATTCATGAAGTTCAAGCTCATGCAGATAATACTGATACTGTGTTGGTCACTGAACTCTTTCCAATATCCCTAGTGCAACAAGGAAAGCTCCAGGTCTAAAACCAATGACCCGCAAGAGGTTTGGGGAGTTCACTATTCTTTATTCCAAATGGTAGGCCTGCCACCTGTTACCTTGAACAAGCCATCAGTGGAGAAAACATCAAGTGAAGCCTTGGAACTTAATGGGGATGGTAAAGTGGAGAGGAGGCGTTTATAAAAGATTGCAAAATTAACAGGAAAAATAGTTTCATTTGCCCCTGAGGAAGGAAGAATATAAATGTTGTGGATCTATAAGGAGTGCTGGCCAAACTACGCCAAGAAGTGCCCCCCAAACATTCACACAAGTCTAGGTAAATCTGTATTCCATCAATCGGTGTTTCCAGGTTTTTCTTGATTGAATGTTTCTTGATTTATGGCATAAATCAAGAACATTTAATTATTGGGTGACCAAAAGGATTGGCCACCACTGACCTACAGCATATAAATGGCATATAGCACCCTGAACAATGAATTGGTGGTGTTTTCTTTCTGAATATAGAATTTGGTACATAATACTGAATAGTCAGTTATAGCATGACATTTATCATTCAGGTGCTTAGTTAATAATATTCCTTGCATTTGATATAGTGCGTTATCATCCAGATACATCTCAAAGTGCTTCACAGAATATACTGTAAAGTGAATTGACTATTTTGTGGGCGAAATGCAGTAGCCAATTGCGCACAGCAGTGTCCCACAAAAAGTCTTGGATGACCAAATTATTATTTATTTTTAAAGGATTACCTCGGAAAAATGATCCGTCAATTGACTAACAACCGGGTTCCAACTTTCCCCGGTCCCTTTGCTTTCAAGGGGAGTGCTCCAACCAATATGCTACAGGACTTCCTAGTTATGGAAATAGAACAGAAATTCTGAAAAATGCATATTGTTTGCACGACGATAACATAACATAACAAGACCCGGATAGGGTGAAGACCTGGAGCATTTGGGATCAGAAACAGTAAAAAATAAACTGAATAATGAGGAAGAATATTGACACTTAATGCATTAGTGAGATATTATAAGGATTGTGCACAATTTGGTTCCTGGGCAGTTTCCAAAGCCTCCATAATATCAAGGGGGATAAGTATGGCTCCTGGTTGTAATTCAAAGAACTATGAGAGGTTCAGGAAGTCTTCAGTCTTCACTTCAAGAAGAAAATAAAAGTTATTCCAAGTTAAACTGAACCATACACCAATTCAGGACTTCAATATAAGTTACAGCTGACAGGACAGTGTACAGGTTAGCTGCCCATGACTGTAAACAATGAATAAGAAACCCCATATAAAGATTCTGTTCTGCAGATGATCACATTCACAATAGTAACATTTTACCACAGGGCATTTCTAACCAGACAATGTAATCTGGAAACAATGCAACATTTTAAAAATCCTTGAGTTAAATGTCACTGAGGAAGAGCGCTTGGCAAGACAGGCCAATATTTTGTACTTTGGAGACCATGATGTTATTATGAGTCACTTTTTTCAGGATCTGCAACTAATAATTGCCCGTGAGATTTGCAACAAAATGGTACAGGTACCATCAGTGTCTACACTTAAAATTATTGGACTTATTTTTTTTCCCCGGAAGGTTCAGACAAGCCCAGCATTTAACTGTCTGAGGTAGTAGATTTACATCTGCAACAAGAACTGTTTCCATATCAGCACAATGTAAAATATGCACTGCTTTTAATACTTTAAAAAAGTATCAAATCAGCCATTTATGATACAAATTTATAAATTTTACAACAGAATATGCACATAAAAATGTAAAGTGAATACAATAATTGAAGTGTCCCAAATTCCCCAAAGTATGGACTACGAAAATAAGTCATGCAGTCATTCCCCTCTGAAGATAATTATATGTAAAATCTAATGCATCATTATATACTTGATTAGTTGTATTGCATTTGGTGGAAATATGAATTTAAGAAAATGACTAAGTAAACAATTAATGCTATTGTGATTAAGTATATGTATTAAAACTAGTAGCAACCTGTGGGAATGTTTGCCTGTTGATATTCAACAAATTCTTGCAAAGCAGCAAGCAAGAGCGCTAAAAATTCTGTACAAAAGGTATTAGTGCAACTTCTCAAATTTGCAATGTTGTTCGCATCAGCTTCAGGTTTTGGCTACAAAGCAGCAAATACAAGAGATATTGCTACATACATTCAACCTGAACCAGTAGGCTGAATATTAAGGCACTAATTCAATTCCAAGTGCGACAAGATGGCTTTCTTCTTAAAGTTTTTCATGTAGATATGCTATGCCAAGTCTTTGTAGAAAAGAGATATTCTGACAATCCATGGTTAAGGCATGATGATTCCATCAACTTGCATTTCCTGTAAAAAAAATTAAAACATTTTGAATTATATGTATATCCTTAAAACTTTCAGTGTCACACATGCCTTTCAATGCTACACAATAACTAGAGGATTCTGAAAGCACCATTCACCAGTCTAAATTTCTGTATTTATGAACAAACATGGCAAAAGTTAAATTCCTGAATACAATAACTCCCTGTCTTACTGGACTACAGGTGCCTGGAACTCAGACCTAGCCAGACAGGGCCTGAAACATTTAAAATATTTCCGTGGGTCTGTGTGTGGACTAGTGCTGGCCCACTGCTAGCACACCCTCACCTTACCATGCTTGCTGGGTTCTGCAGTACCCAGGGATATCCACTTTGAGTCAGTTTGAATCCAATGAGCACAAAGATAGCTTATTCGCTATCTTCTGCTCATGGGATTCAAACAATTAAATCCCAGTACATAGAGCCACCACTGAAAAAAGCAGGTAATTACACCTACCTGGAAATTCCGTCTTGCTGGGCCGGATTCCCCATTGGTCCTGGGACGCTACCCTGAGTGAGGCGCTATATATTTAGTTTCAAGTTTTTAGTATATGATCCCAAGTTGGAAAGGTCAGTGTATGCAACTTTTAAATCTATTCACAGACATCAACCAATACTAACGTCAAGCCAATCAGCAAACAATCTTTGATCAAACCAATAATGTCTATCAAAACACAAGATTTATTTGAAATCTATTCAGCAAAAATAGAACGGGACTTTAAAGTTGAACAAAATCATATGATCTAAGTACCTACTGCAAATGTGTAAATTTCTTAAAGGGACTGCACAATTTTTTCAGTTTGGATGTTGGCATTAATTTGTACCTGGAGATTGAAAAAGTAAAAAAAAATCTAAAATCAAGTAGTAATTTTTGTTCTCATTTGTTAACATACGATTGAAACATTAATTAATGCTCTTAATTCACTGTGGTGAAATAAAAAACAAAGGACCATTCTAACAGTGTTGTAAAGTTATCCTTTACAATCCTGATCCTGTCCATTCTCATTATGCTATCTTGCCATATCTGAAAATATTGCTCTGGGTTTACTTTTTCAATCTTATTTAGCATCTTATACAGTGGACCCCTATTATATTATGATTCATTCATTATAAATTAACAACAACAACAACAAGATTCCATTTATAAAGCGCCTTTCACGTCAGGAGGACGTCCCAAGGCGCTATTAAATTCTCTTAATACGATTGGGTGTGGATCCTGACATGGAATTATCAAAAAATCAAAAAGCAGTGTATATGTACGTACTGACAGTGATTACGTAATTTTAATTTTAATTTTAAAATGCTGGTTGGGATTTTATTCACCCCAAATATAATATAAAATAAAAATAATTCCTGCATTTGATATAGCGCTTTTCACGTCTTCCAGACGTCTCAAAGCGCTTCACAGAATATACTGTAAAGTGAATTGACTGTATATTTGTGGCGAAACACAGCAGCCAATTGCGCACAGCAATGTCCCACAAACAGTCGTAGATTGAAGTGACCAATTTATTATTGTTTTTTTTCTTAAGAGATTATTATCAGGCGTGTGGAGTAAGGAAACTTGCCCAAGGTGTCAGCCAGCCGGGAATCGAACCCAGGTCTCTTGCTTGCAAAGTGAGTGCTCTAATCACTGAGCTACAGGACTCCACATCATGTTATAACCAATATCATGTTATAATGGGGTCTCTTCTGTATAACTTTACAAGGTCTCTTGTGAGACGTTTCTGTTCAAGGCTGAAAAGTTCTACTTTCATTCCTCATAGATTATCTTGCTAATACTGGGGATCATTTGTATTACTCTCCATTGCACTGAATCAAAGGCCTGGCCCTTAATGCATTACTGTTTAAAATCAAATCATCACTTCTTTTAATGTCACAATTGTTAAGACCTTGACACAAGACTGCAAAGGACATTTTGGAGGGTGAATTCCAGATCAATTCACCTTCTTCAATGTAAGTTACATAAACCTTTAATGGTTTGAGCTTACCTATTTGAAACTTTAAGTGACTGAATGACAATCTTTGTTCCACAGATGATCGTTTTATCCTTTTCACTGCTGCCGCATCTCCAGTCACACACATGTGCGCTTTTCGTTTCCCTGCAGTCTTCACAATTTCAGCATTTTCCTTTTGTGAGCTCTCTTCATCTACTGGGTTACTGCTGCTGCCCAACGACAGCAAGTGGTCACTGCCAACCTGAATAGGTACCGACTGCATTCTAGAAAAGTGCTTAATTTTATCAGATGATGGACTACTCGCCCCATTCTCATTACTGGATCTTGCTTTGTGCTCCTTCTTCCCTCTTCGTTCACATAAAGTTTGACTTCTGGGGTTGAAGTTGTGTGCTTCGAATGCATCAACAGCTGAGGGATTTACTTCACTGTATGCATCACTGTTTTCTTCAGTAGACTTCTGAAGATGACTTGAACTTTTAATATCAAATGAGTTATTTCTGGATGGCTGCCAAGCAGTTGCTACACTATAATTTCTGAAATGGCTCTGATCTAGAGAGTTGATCTTCCTTAGGAACACCCTGCACTCTTTAAAACTCCCAAGTTTCCAGTTAACATTTGTTAAAGTGTCTTTTTGCTGCTCTTCCATAGCAAAGCCTCCTTGATCTGTGTTTTCTAGTTTTGTGGTTCTTTTGGATTTATGGTTGGTCATTAAGCCCATGTCCTGGACACTTGTACAACCAGATACACTAGCTCCTTTGTTATTGACAGAATTAAGTTTGTCTTGGTTTTCATTTTCTTTTTCATTGTTCATTAGGACAGGCTCTCGTTCTGATCTAATGGTTTCAATTTTAAGATCAGGTTTTTGATTATTTTTAGTTTCTACAGTTTTTACTGAGTCAGGATTTAGATTTCTGCATCCTTGATTTTCATTTATTTGTTTCCAAACAGACTTCCACTGCTTGCAATGGACTCTGTGATTATGAGTCAATCCTGTACTTTGAAGTTTACAGGAAACCACATTGTTATGGTCAATCAAAAGCCTCCTTTTAGCTTTGAGCTTGCTCATTCTATTTGATAGACAAAATTGCCCTTGTGGTCTTATATCAGGTTCTAGTGCAAATTTTTTAAGGTGCTTTTTCAAATGTTCTGCCTGAGAGCTTGAACAGATGGCAATTTGATCGGCATCTGCTATAACTCCTTTAGCATTGAGAACCTCAATAGGGTTCCGGGCATTATCTTTTCTTACAATGGATAAAGAATGTGTTTCTGTTGTTTGCATGAACCATGCCCGAATTTTATCCATATCACAATTTCCCTGAAACAGCATTTGGATAGGAGAGATTTGATCCTCGTCATAACAGTCTTCAACTGATGTCCGTTTGGCTACAGTTTCCATTGGATCTGGGGGTCTTCCTTTGTCAGAACTAATAGTTAGTTCCTCAACATCAACGGGAAGCCAGCCATTATTAATCTTTTCAAATTGCGTATCAAGTTCTTCTAGTAAAGTTTGTTTGGAAGTGGAGTTATGCCACCACCTGAAAGAAGTGCTCGATATAAAAATGGGATCTGCTGATACTTCAGAAAAACAATTCAGTTCAGGTGCTTCAATCTTGCTTTCTTGCCCATTACTCCCTGTAGTAATATTTGGCAAGGTATTCTCAGATATCATTTTAATATTTAACTTCCTGTTTTTTGCAAGCTCATTACCTGCTTTATTTAAAAGCAGTTTCCGTGATTTACGCACCAAAGCACTACTTTGAGAAAATGAGCAGGAGTTTGCAAATGAATGTAGGCAGTGCAGAGATGGCTTTCTAATTCTAACTGAATGCCTCGAGGGTACGGCAGACTTCACTTTATTCTTTTGGTCATTTACTTTTGACATTGTTTCACAATCATTTTGTACTGTTGCCACAGATTCTTTATGTAAATCAGGATCTTTCATCTCTGTATCTTTTGACACATTTTTAATTGGAAACTCTTGGTCTAAAGGAGGTAATATGCTGTTAATGTAGACTTTTCTTTCCTGAGGTGACACTAGATCAACAGTTACAGAAATACCCGAAATCTTCACTTTTGCAGGACGTCCAGGTTTTCGTTGTCCATTTTTAGAAATTTTAATAGTTGTAGGCTTACTATTTGGACCAACTGCATTGCCAGTGTTGTGAAGTGAAAGAGTCTTATTTTTTATGGGTCTAACTAAATCATATCCGCATTCACTTTCAGTCTGTGAAGGTGTCAAGCGATCAGTTTTGCTTTCCATTTCCTCTATAGTAGAGCTCTGTGCAAATTCCAAGCTTTCCAGTTGTTTCTCACACGTTTGCTTCAAGTCACTTTCATTGATATTAAGTTGTGGAATTGTTACATTTCCATCATTCTCAGACACAAATCTTTTGAATCTTCTTGAACGTCCATAGACTACTGTAATCCTAATATTCCGGTTGCAGACATCATCTCTGGAAGGTGGACATGAAAGATTGCAGTTTTCAGCATCTGGAGTTTCAGTTGTACAATCAGCAGATTCAGATAACTCAACCTTAGGTTTAGGTGGTCTTCCCTTGGGGCGTTTAATCTGCTTTTCTACTGGAGGACCTAATTTTTTGGGACGACCCGGCTTTCGTTTTAAAACTAAATCACCCACTTCCTTTGAAACCTGTGTTATTTCCATGATCTGGTCAATAACCTTTTCAGCATCACATGTTAGAAGTGAATTATCCAAGTCCTTCGAAACACCAGTTATTTCTACCACCTGGTCATGGTCAATAACTTCTTCAGAATCATGTTTTAGAACGGAATCACCTACGTCCTTTGAAACCGTGGTTATTTGCACCTTCTGATGAATAATTTCTTTAGCATCATCTTTTAGAAGTGGATTATCTGTATCCTTTGAAACCTCACTTAATTCCGCCACCTGGAAATTATTTTTTACAAGACTGCTCGCACATAGAGAACTACTGGAACCCAACCTATCCATTTCAACATCATCATTTACTTCCCCATAGATTGTTTTAGAACTCTCCAAAATACTCTGGAAACATTCAGCAGTATTAACATTTTCAGCAGATGAATGAGAATGATCTTCCTCTGGGGTTTTAATGAGCACTTCTTCAGAACTAATTTTTGCAATGCAGCTGCCTGTGTCAAACTTTGTCAAAGTACTTACAGATGTCAGTGTGTATTTTACTCCTTGGTCACTGCTTACTTCTGAGAGAAACATAAGCTTAACGGGACTGTTATAACTAATGAAAGAACAATTTTGGCCCAGGTCAGTTTTATTTGTAGAACTCGCAATCCCATGAATTGAACATGCACAAACTTTAGAATGCTGACACTTCTGTTCCGATGAAGGATTTGCATTCAGACAATCATTTCCTAATATCAATTGAGAGGGAAATATATGGTTTGTTGGTTTAGATTCAGAAATAGTAGTAAGTAATTCCTTTCTTTCTGTGTTCCTCAAAGGTGTACAGCTATCAGTATTTGAAATATTTTCTGAGTCATCCTTGGTACAATCACTTAATTGAATAGGCTGCTCTAGGCTATTATGTTCCATAGAACCAATGGAGTCAGTATTTAGTGTTGTAGATGTGTTTTGCTTTTTGTCATCGTATTGATCAAGAACTTGGCTTGGTTCTTGTAAAGAATGTAATACAGTTGCCTCAGGTGAGGTAAGTTCACTTGTATATTCTTTGTCATCTGTTAACTTTCCAATGTTATGATCATCTCTGTTCTTCCGGAGCTCAAAGCCTGCAGAAAATGGTGTATCTGAAATTCCAGTTACTTCACATGCAATGACAATGTCCTGGCCTTCTCTATGTGACTCTTGGGTTTTGGAGACATCGGGGCTGCAAATTTCAGAAGCATTGCTTCCAGACTCTACACCAGATCGTTTTGTTTTAATTGATTTTCGTTGGAAATTTTCTGAAAAGGAGGCAGCATAGAACATTTTTCTAGGCTCAGTAATGTAAATGGAAAATCTTTCCGGAGGGAGAACATTTCTTTTTGCCCTAACAATGCTAGGTGTATAATTCATTCCCTCAGAGTTCTGTGTGTCTTCAAATCTCTCACTTTCTGTACAGTCATGCTCAAATATTGAAATCTCAGTCTTCTTCCTTGGAGTTTCCACATATTTTTCATGAGGTTCAGAGGTGTTTGACTGCTCTGGGTAATCAAAAGAATTACAACTGTCTTCTGATAAATTTGACCATTCTGTTATATCTCTAACTTCACATTCTACTCCTTCCCCAGGCGAGAACTTCGAGTCAGCGAAGGAAGCTATTTCACATTGCAAGGGTGGAAAGTTGTTAAAACCGGTATTCATGCTGGGAATATTTTGTAAATCAGGGTCTATTGAATCTTCAGCAACTTCATCACCAAGAAAGGAATATTCGGCTTCTGGTGAACTTGGATTCTTTATGAGGCTCTTTGCTGATCTCTTCCCACATTTGTCAGATGTTGACTTCTTCCTTAAAAAGAGCTGATCTAGATTTGCAAGATCTCGTTTTATTTGCACTGTTTGACGACGAGATGATGGAGAATCTGGAGAGTTATGAAGAGCAATTAGAGTTTCTTGACGTTTCCGGAAACGGGTTTGAATTATTCGGTTTTCCTCGTGCTGTTTGAGTAATTCCATTAGGCTATAATCACTGACCTTTGCCTCGTGGAGTAAAGCAGTTACAATTTCTCTCAATTTAACACTGTCATTATTTTCCTGATAGGAATCAATGTTGGATGGGTTAGTCAGACTTTGACCTTTGTCTGAAGTTTCTATTGATTTCAGTTTTTCATTTATTCGCTCCATTAGCTCTTGAAATGAAACAGAATTTTCACCTTTTTCAATATCATTTTCAGACTCAGATGATCTACTATTTTCACCATCGACTTCCTGAAATTCTTCTAGGTGTGCTTTGCTTGAAGTCTGACTAGACATCAGTGAGCTGCAGTCCCCCTCTTCTTCTGGAGAAAGAGAGGGGGGTTGGGTGATATTACATTCAATGCTATTAGCATCAAAGGCTGAAATGTACGTATTCATTCCAGTTTCAGACCCGTCTGCTCTCACTGGTGACAAAGGTGGAGGGGATGGACTTCGTGCTCTGCTGTAATCTTTGATATTGTATACTACTGTAGAAACATCTGCTGCTTCCGTATCAGGAGTAGGGATCTCTTCAACTACAAAGTCACTGGAGGTTTGAATTGTAGCTCTTTCATCATTTATACATCCAGGAAAACCTTCAAAAGATCCAGGGTAAACTTGGTATAGACTGCTCTTGTGACACTCTTTGCAAACTCCATTACTTATTATCGTAAAACATCCAAGATACCTTTTTTTGCATGATAAACAATGTGGATCTTTTATACAACTGCAGTGTGGCATCTGTGGAAAAGAAATGGATTGTACAGTTTGCAAGGAGCTTTTATGCCATAGGAATCCATTAGAGCTGCAGAATTCCTCATATGCCTTGTTTTCGAAGAAAGAAACTGAGGAATTTTTCCACTGTGAATGTCTTTGATGTCTGCATTGCACATCAGAAATACCTTTTTCTTGCAGTAGACACTTTAGCATTGTGGTAAGAAGTCTCTGATGGTTAGGGCACAGGGTAGACACAATTTCATTCAATGCAGTTAGTTTGTTGTTTATGTAACTAGTTTCTCGAGTAGAGTTGAACATTGCCTCTGTATCAGCTCCCAGCTCAGAACTGTTAAAAAAAAACATGCTAAAGTAAGAAGATTAAAATAATCCAAACAATGAAATAATCAAAATATATCCTAAGAATCAAAAACAAGCAAAAACTGATAAGGTAAAAATATGGTTGCTTGCACACTCTTTTGATATAATATGAACACTTTTACAAATTTTTCTTTAAAGGTATATTAACTTACAAAAATAATACTCAAAAAGCATAAAAGATACAGTATTGAGTGAACAGTCTCCTTTTGAGTTGAAATTTCTTTGATTCTATTTCCAAATCTTGATTGATATGGAAAGCATAACAAGGAAAACCAACATTAATAATACTTGCATTTGATACAGCACCTTATCACGTTGTTGAGACTTCTCAAATTGCTTCTCAGGATATGCTGTAAAGTGGGTTGACTATGTATTTTTGTGAGGTAAACACAGCAGCCAATTGTGCACAGAAACATCACACAAACAGCCATGGAGTGAGATCTCTATTTACAACAATATGAGTTTGGAGGAAAAATTTGGTATGGCCAAATTACATTTAACAAATGGCATCAAACTCCAGAAATTCAAATCAGTTAATCCAGGATTATATATAAAACATTTTTTATGTTGAATTAACATCTTTTGCTACGTACTTTAAGTGACTAATGAACTTTTACATTTGTTTCAATAAGCTCTTTGAGAAGTCTCAACAACGTGATAAGGCGCTATATCAAATACAAGGATTATTATTATATTATAAAACAAAAATGCACAAACATACATTACTTGCCATATGGCCTTCACAAACTGTAACTAAAATGCTCATACTTAATAATCTCATCAGATCACCCCGAACAGCAATTTACATTAATCAATTACATTTCAATTTTATGAGAATGTATAATGGTAATCCAAGGCACTCACCTCCTTTTGAGTATGTTGCCTTGAAACTTTATCCTTTGCATTAGAACTGCAAGGTATTAACCAAGTAGTTCTGCAGCATGGAAGGGGGTTAAAGAAAACACTGTTAAAACTGAAATGCCTTAGAATACCATTACAATTTATTTGAACTATATTTTCTCATATTTTGGATGATAATCAATTGGTAGGTTGGCTCTAAATGTTGTGCCACTATCAGATTAATTTTGTAGATATTTGATGATGACGCATGGTTACTTGGAAACATTGATATCCATGGTGTGCGAATGCATTTTCAGAATTAAACATTTTCTGTTGGTCAGGAGTGACATAATAAATGCAGTTCTACTTTACACGAATGACAACTGTGTTTGATCAGGGCTGCATCTGGTTTCTCATTCACTCAGCTTTCCTGCACCACCGCAACATCACCTGCCTCTGGCTCTACCTCTCTTCCCTGGCTGCCGAGACCATTATCCACGCTTTCATCATGTCCAAGCTCAATTATTCCAATGGCTAATTTGCGGTTCTTCCCTACACAAGATGAGGACCATCCAGAACTTTGCAGCCTCTGGCCTCTCCTGCACCAGGGTTCATTACCCCTATTCTCATTCTCACAACAATATGAGTTTGGAGGGAAGATTTGGCATGCCCAACTTACATTTAATGGCTGGCTCCCCATTCCCCAGCAGATTGAATTCAAGATCCTGTTCAAATTCTACCACAGCCTCACCCCACCGGTGCAACCTCCTCTAACCCTGCCGCTCCCTCTCTTCAGCTAACAATGGCCTGCTTCATGTCCCCCCACCCGATCTGCCCAACCACCAGTGGGTGAGCACTCAGCCATTCTCTGGCACTACAACGCTGAGTCGCTCCCCGTTGGCGATTCCCTCCGCAATTTAAGATTCAGCTTTTCAACTGCACTTTTGATCATCCCGCCTGACCCCACCCCTGGCAAAGCAGCCCACTGCTAGAATTAAAAATGTAGTTAATCAATATTGGTTATATTGTACCCCATTAATACTCGAGAAACATTTCCATTGTATTTCTTCCCCTTTAGATTTTTGTTCAGAATTCATGTGCGTTAAGTTTTGTGATATCTGCTGTATCAACCGATGATGTCATTACGAATAGGGAATCTAATTTCTTAGCCACACAAGACAAATTTACATTTACACAGTGCTATCCCACTTAACAGTACTACTGGCTAGACAACCTTGCTGGGGGCGGAAGACGAGCGGGGTAGGGTCTGGAAAGATGGCTGAAAGCACAGTCAAATGGGTAGAGTTATTGAGTCGATCTTGAGCCGAGGTCCTGCGTTTAGCAATTTTTGTGTGGTCATCCAAGTTTAGGGATGTGTGTGGTGGACAGCAGAACCGTTTTTTGTAGTTGGGCGGCAACAAACACTTTTGGGTTTGGTACATTTTGAATTGAGAGTAAAGTTCCTGTTATACTTATTTTATATCCATCTAGGAATGTCAATGCTGGAAATCGAACATTGTTTGAATTCAGACACTTACTTGTTAGCATAGCCTCAGGTTGAGAAGCTAAAATAGCGATTCAAACATTTGCCAATTAGTTTTTATTGATGTATTATTTCTGGCATTATAGTGGATTTCGCAGACTGTGGCATGTGTTGTGCGAGAAGTGCTATTTAATGCTATTTTACATAACAATAAATGATTTAATATCACAGTAGTTTGTGATATGAAAAAAACGTTTTAATGAATGTTTCACTATTTCAACAAATTGAACATCATTCATCTAACCCAAGCCACTATTTGTAAAAAAAAATTAATGTTCAGTTGTACTTTCCAGTAGTGGTCATTGGATAGTGATCAGTAGTTGTAATCCTAGTCATGGTTAGTTCCTTCCCTTCTCTCCCACCTCTTCCATGGCTCAAGCAGAGACCTGTGCTGACTACTCTGAAATCAAATGACTTTCCTGGTTTCAATGCTTCCACATAAACGCAAACGATTATTATTTTCAATTAATAATACTAATCCTTACATTCGATATTGTGACTTTCATGTCGGAAGGATGTCTCAAAGTATTTCACAGGTTATACTGCAAAGTCTAGTGACTGTGTATTTCGTAGGTTAACACCACAGCCAATTATGTCCCACAAACAGCCATGGAGTGTCCAATTTTATTTACGAGATTGTTGGCCAGGATACTGGGAGAAACTCTCATCTTTCAGGTAGTGCCATGGAATAATAATAATTCGGCAATCCTTACATTTGTTATAGCAGCTTTCATGCAGGATGTCACAAAGCATTTCACAGGATATACTATAAAGTGCAGTGACTATGTTTTTTAGGGGGATATGTAACATCCACCTCAGGCCACCGAGACCTCAGTTTAACATCTCATCCAAAAGATGACAATGCTCTGAACCATCAGCTTCTGACTACCAGCACTACACTAAAGTGCATGCCTAGACTATACAAGTTCAAAGTCATGACATGGAGTTGAGTTTGAACCCACAGCTTGCTGTCTCAGAGGTGAGAATGCTACCCACAGAGCCAGACTAAAACACAACTGCATACAGTAAATTCCATTCAGGGAGAGGATTCAATCTGGGTTATAAAATGAAACATCAAAGAATTAAGCGTCCCAATGTACACATTGGATGGAGTACTTCACATCAACCTCTACTCTACCTCTTGGCAAAGACATCCTAATATCAATTAGATCTCAATAACAGAGGATCAGGGCAACTCCGACATGCATCCAACTATTAGCTAATCAAGTATCCCTAAAGTATACAATTCCTGATAACTCTCACTAGGCAAGCATTTTTAAGGTATAACTGAAATAGTTTATTGGAAACTGTCATAGATAGTATAGGTGATTTAAGGGGAAGCAAGATAGGTACATAAGGGAGAAAGGAATAGAAGGTTATGCTGATTAGTTGAGGAAGAGCAGGAAGCATAAACACCGGCATAGACCAGATGGGCCGAATGGCCTGCTTCTAGCTGTATATTCTCTGTAATTCAATGTCAACTGATCTGGACCCAATCCATTCATCATTACTCCTGTCTTGTAAGATCTAAAACCTAGAACAATTAAGGCTTGTTTTTGGTGATACTTATTTTATTCATCAAGGGATACGTAATATTTTGGGAATATAATATTGTTTTCTATTTCAGGGACCCACCGTTTGCATTAAGCAATCCCAGGTAAGATATAACAATTGCACAGTAATGATCTATTTAGTTTGCCAACAATATTCTGTAGTCCCAAACTTTGATAAACAATTGTACTGTACTTCTGTGGCGTTCCATAATAAATATCACTACCTATGACTTGTTGGAATGAACCCGCCAATTTAGGTCATATGAGCACCAAATTAGGGCAATTTTGCAGAGACACAACAGGAACCCAGGTCCAGATGTGAAAGGACATGACACTAATTAATTATGCCACTCAGCTACTTAAATTCACGTTTGCATTTTGATAAATTTGTATCCAAATTTCTCCAAAATTAAATGGTTATATAATGTCCATCACACACAAAAAATGGCATGAATTAGTAAAGGGAAAAGACCTTCCTTATATATAGTTTACAATCAGAAGCCCTGATACTGAAGTTGCATTTAACCAAACGTTAACCAGACATTTTTCTTCCATTTGAATGGTTAATACGACATATTAATCCATCAATAAAACAAATATTGCTCCAGATATTCTCTCCTGTTTGTGTTGCATTACATGATGAGTTATCACATACAATGTAAAGAGCCATGCCAACCTGTGCCTTTTAAGATGACCTTATTATGGTTACCTACAGAATCTCTAAATAAAGCAATCAGTTGAACACTGACCAACAATTAAAATGCATTTGGAGAATTCACAAGCTAAACTGCTGAAGCAGCAAGTGATAAATGGAGAGCTAATTGCATGATATTCCTTTCAGAGCAATCCTAATAAATTAATATGGCTGATATCAAAATGAGAATGACCGAAAGACAGAACAGAAGTTTCAGAAGCATTATGCATATACCGTATTTCTTTTGCAAGTGGGCTGCAAATTACAATGTTCTTGGTACTTACAGTACTTTATGATAACTAGATAAAAAAGACAACTTGGTCANTTTTTTAAACTAGTTTTTAAATTTTATGTGCAAAAGCATCAAAGTGCTTTACTACAAATTACAACCTATAAACACAATAATTGAAACAGCTGAAATCTGTACAATCAGATTGAGGATTATTAAACAACACATCATAGGAAAACAGAATCACAGTAATGTTTAACACCACAAGACACATTGTCCAGATACATTGTTTTCATTAGAAAATATTGTAATAAATAATTCATGAATATAGTGCAATTGATTTATGCATAAATATAACTAATCATCTAAAATCAGTTTTATGTTAACCAATTTTGAAAATCAAGGCAGCCACAGAGTTTAGCTATATTACTGTGATAATGGAAATACTGTACTGCAATTTGAAAACAAAGTGATAAGTCTGTACTTCTTACTGTAAACTTCAACTAAATATCAGTTTTTACTAAAAGTAATACACAATATAAAATTTCCCCATTATCTATCAGAAAATGGTTTTAAACAACTTTACTGAGCAGAAATTCTAAAAACAGAGGCACTGTTTGTAATACAAAATTTTTCCAGAAACATTCGTTAAGTACTAAGTAGGTATGTCACAATATTAAAAACATCTTTAATCATGATTATGAAAACTGACAGTGGCGAAAATAGTTAAATAATTGAAGTTTCATAAATCTGTGTTCTTACTAATAGATTTAAATTATATGTTCCATGCCATTTATGAAAGGTACCCCAAAAACTACCCCAAAAAGAAAAATAGAAATTTGTTGCCATTTCAGTTAAAAGGATTTTCACCTAAAACACCAGTGGATCTGAGAATTAGAATTCAATAATTTAAAAAAAAAATCTTATTTCAAATGGTGCATTTTCTTCTTTGAAAATACTTCCTCATCATCGTTTAGATTTTTGAATTTCCTTAATCTCTTGTTCTAAGGGTAAAACTTCAAAAAGAAAAAGCCATTACAACTTTTGAACACAACAAAATACTTTTTCTGTTGCATTATTCGGATTACTAATAGTTCCACATCACAATTGGAGATGAGGAACGAGATAATTATGATTAAGGACTTTACGTGATTATTATAATATTGAGACATCCCTCGTACTACGTTAGAATCATATTTTGTAGGACTTGCTCAAGCCTATTTTTTTCTTTCTTAAACTAGCCAAATTCTGAAAGTTACTAAATTGAACCATGATTTTCATGGTAGGTTAACAGAATGCTACCATAATTACACTGCCAAAATCAAGTCACTGGCAGAGCAAGCCCAGTCTTTATAGTATATATAATTGTTAATGGTTTCCCCCCCAAAAATTACAACACTGGATAACTTCATCTAATCCTTACAATTCAAACTTTTCAACTTCATTTCAGAAACTTCAGTGTGAACTACAAAGGCGAGAGCTTAAACACAAATTCACATGAACATTAAACACAAAATTCTGCTTGTTCCAAGTAACAGAATTGAGGAAAGTGGATCACGAGCAACAAAAAGATTTAAAACTATTCAAAGCTTTTCATTCTTATTTAAACCCTACCGAAAACCTGAATTCAAAAGGTTTTTGCTGTGAACCCCATGCTAAGAGTAGCTTTTCATTTTGGTACTCACAGAATGAGATAATGTATATGGACATTGAAATCAGAAATGCTGGGATTACCTTTTAAATGAGGAGAAATTCCATCTTTGACAAAAACACAATTAACTTAGCAGCAGTTAAGTTTACAGTTAGCAGAGATCTGCCTTGGGAGTGTGAGAAATTGCAAACTCGTTAGAACATACTACAGCTACAGCTTTTCATTAAATACAGACTAACCAGAACATAACAATGAACTATCCCTCAAGCTTATTCTGTGCATTTTATGCATCATGCTCTATACAGTGCTCCAACAGTAGTCATTTCTTTCACAACCACAACTTATTTTTTTAATTAAAACTAAGTATTTTTACATTTTCATTTGGGGTTTCTTCCCCTCTCCTGCTCCCAAATGTACACTGGGAAGTACAACATTTTATTATTCTATTCCTAAATAATTACAGGTACCCAAATGTTGACAGCGAACCAAAAATTTAGAACTAACCATTTTGCCAAATATGGACACACTGGAGTTCCAATGTGCTAAATTAATGGCAGTGTTGTGTGTGTATATATGTACGGGTGGGATATGAAAACAGTTCAGTGAATTGCCAATTTTAGTCACTCTATGTGAGTCACCAAAACAGAGGTCAGGTGCCTTCACACAAGGGAAGGAAACATCAAATGTGTCTTCCCCTGGAAACTCAAAATTCTCAAGATGACTCCTGATAGGTACTATATGGGTAGAGACTTGGAAACAGGTTGCATGCTATCACAGTACAACTGCTGCATGAGCTGGGGAGAAGAGAGGGAAAATATATCCCCCTTCACATATAAAATAAATAAATAAATAAATAAATATCCTGCTGATGGAAAATGATTAAGTGATTTCATACAGTATCTTTTAAAGCAACACCATGTATGTGTATCAGCCAATCCACTGTTGGCATTCCCTAAAATTTGCATTTTAAACTAGTAAACCAAGTTTACCAAATTATCCACAATTTGAGATGCATGTCAGAAATGTGTAATTAATACACAACAGTCAGAACATAGAAATTGCACATAAAGTGCTCTGAAAGTCTTGTTTTTAAAAAAAATTAACGTGTTTGACTCTAAATTTAGTACTCACTTCTTTATCTTAATATGTCAGAGGTTGATTTTTTTAATAATTAATTTTCCTTACCTACTTTAGGTAGTAACATTTGTCAAGTTCATTTTCATTCCTGACTTGGGCTCTGGGAGCCAATCCTATAAAATAATGGTGTGTGACTATTGTTTGCCTGTCTTACAACCCAATCATTGAAAACATTTATATTATAGTATTCTTCTTGCTAAACATTAACTTTTCTAATTCACAATCGACTCCTTCAATTCTACAAGAGCATTAAGATGAAAACTAACACATGCGACTGCACCAAGTATTTTCCTTTTACGTACAGCCAAATCCCTGCTTGAAACTATGCTTTGCCTGAAGGCCAAAGGGTGGTTTTACAATACTAGTTGAGTTAGCATTTACTGTATGGTTAAGCCCATTTGAGTCACAACCTTTTAAAAGGTCTACATGGACTTGTTGCTGCTTTTGGAGCTGCTCGTCCCTGAATTTGTCATATTGAACAGCCCAGTGTCCGATAATCTGAGCTTCTTCTTCGGTGGTGTCTTCAATGTCCCAGATCGTTCTTTTACTTTGTATTCTAAAGTGCTGTGAGGTACTCCATAAATTCCTTGTGCTTTAGAGACACTCATTTTCCCACTCATTACCATCCCAATAGCCTCTTCCAAAATGTCATGGTCATACTGCCGATAACGCCCACGCTTCTTTCTTGGTTGTTTACTGTCTTTCAGACTAATGCGGTCATGACCATCATTTTCAGATGTTACGTCAATGGTTCCATTATTTACGTTAAGACATAGTGGAGAAATGTCTCCATGCAGGAGGAAAGAATCAACACTAGAATGAGTCAAAGGTAAAGAACATTCAATTTTACTCTGCTTAGGCAGGATAGTTTTGAGTTTCTGTAGCGCTGATCCTTCCAGCAGCGAAGAGGTTTTTGATACCTGGTACATAACATCGAAAAGCCCACAGCTGTCAGGCTGGGGTTTGGGCACAGAGCTTGCTCGTACCTGAGGAATTTTTAACTGAACAGCAGGACTACTGACACTTTCAATATGAAGGTTGACATCTTTCTCTTTCAGCTGTGCAACCATCCTTTGCAGGGTTAACTGGTGGAGGTAACTGGAAGCAGTGGGAAACTTTAGCTCTGAAGGTCCCAACTGACTGAGTTTTCCCTGTTCATTACATTGGTTGGAACTTCGTTCTGCCTGAGCTCTTGCCCACAATGCAACTTTTTGCAGTAGAGCATGAGGTTCCCCAAAAGTCTTAGAAAAACAACTCTCAGTGGCATCTCGCATCTTGTTTTTCAATGGTGCTGCTCCTCCTGATAAGGCTTCCAAATTGAGAAGTAAAGTTTGGTGAGGTATTCCATATAGCATGGCTGCTTTGTTCATGTCCAATGCTCCTGACTGAATGTCTTTCAAGGCTTTTGAAAGCAAACCGTCTGCAAATTCAGCACTTCGTTTCACAAGCTCCTCAGTGTTTTTCTGTGGTCTCCTAGGATGGATGGAATGAAACGATGGTAAGCTGACGCATGAGACTGGCACACAGCTATGGAAGGGAAGGGTCCACTCCTTTATTACAGGCTTTGCTTGGGTAACATCACTGCTTCTCTCACTGCTTTAAGTCTCTGAGTTCTGGCTGTTATTGCTTAAAGTTGCAAAAGGTTACAGTTCTGGTAGGGCAGTGCAAATGTATGATTGCAATTTCGATAGCAGCCTTGATATGACATTTATGTTACAGATCAATATTTGTGTTATTATTTCTTGCAGTTGTTAATCCGTGATAGTTGCTTGTAAAAACAAAAATACAACTTTCACAGTTTTAGTGCTTCAATTATCCTTCCTTTTAATTTACTGCATTATAATGTTGTTCTACATCCTAAAGCAATTTGTTAGTAGAAACGTGACGTTACCGCTAAACAAGTAATAAAAGAGTTACCCCTCTTTTCCCAAATAGTGTACTACAATCACAACAAGCTAAAAGCAAATTCCAAAAACATTGCACAAACATAACAAACAGCCCACATCAATACTGCACAAGAAAATTCACAGTGACAAGCCTAAATATGTGACACATTTATCAATGTACTCAATTTTAAAAACAGCTGAGGTAACTTGAGATATCAGGAATATTTGTGGGGAGGTGGGGATAATCTGTTATTTTATACAGTTAACCTAAAATTACAATTTAAAAACAAAAGGAGCATTTGCAGAGTATACTATCCATTTTGGAATTTAAAAAATGTGCATCCTTTATGAGTCTCTGTTATAGTCCATAAAGAACTTCCAATGAATAAAATGATTATTAAAATGGACTTAATTTAAAAAAAACCTTGAAAGTGCCAGAAGTGTCAAGACAAGTTAAATCAATTTATCGATATTGTACTGGTTAGGGTACATATAACAAGAAACTTGTGAGCAACAAGGCCATATTTGTAAACTTAATTCTTTCAACCCAGAAAGATCCTTGACAATGATGATGGCCACTACTCTGGTATTATCAGCAGCTATTTTGTAAGAAAGTTTTAGTCCACTTTCTGCTGTATTTATTGTACTGATTTAACTCCAATTTTTCTTAATTGAGAACTGTAATTACACACATGTAGTCAAGGTTAGCCACTTTAAAATATTCTAACATCTACGTATAAAATGATGGGGTGGGGGGGGGGTGGGGTTATCTTTAGATTCACTGACCTTTGTCAGTACTAACTTTTGTTTAAATGAACACTTGAAGGTTATACCTACTAAAACTACACTTTTGTATTTATTTTAATTTTGATGATGCAATGCAACTAAAATATACGCTTGATTGGGCTATTTCTGAGGCTGAGTGTTAAGATGCAATGTTTTTGCACAGTGTCTACACCTCCAAGTAATCCCTCTTCTTTTCAATGAAAGTAACTGTGACTCACATATCTCCAAGTCAATGTAGTTCTTAAGAGCTGATATAATACGATAGTACAAACTTTTTTTTGCCACATTCTGGAGACTAGTCAACAAGAAAGCTACTCAAAGTATGTCCTCCATTTATGAGAAGGCTTTGGGTTTCTGCACAAGAAACCCCCAATCACGAGTTCTATACTTGAGGTATATTCAATAGACCAATCAAAATAGTTATCTGTGAGTCCTAAGACTATTGCCAAGGAAAAAAAATTTTCCTTGAATTTTAAGGGGATCACTGAAAGAGGTTCTCCCAGATTTCTGCTCCACCCGTACATCCAGTAAAATGAGCAGGTATGTCCCTACCCATCAATGTCCCAGTGGACAAACGACGTACAAAGTCACCAGGCTAAGAAGTTAGAGGGAACAGTAGGTTTTTTTCACCTCAAGACCCTCCTCTTCAACCGTGCTTTCGACCTCCCTGCTTCCCCCCTGCCCTTCCCCCTCCCCCAGCCCGACCTTCAGCTCGAGTCCGTAACTGTCTGTCCAGTGCTTTGGGACATCCTCCCGATGTGAAAGGCGCTATACAAATGTAATTTTGTTGTTGTTGTTGTTTCCCCCCACTTGTCACCCTGAGCATCTCATTTTATCGGAAAGGCATCAGTAACCATTAACTTGAATACATTTGAACTCTGTGATTACCATCAATGTACTTGTAGTCAAGTACTCCATAGGATGCCGGCGTCCATTGCGTCCATTGGTTTAAAAATGCTTAAGTAGCCATGTGTTGGATTTCTATGAAGATCACTGCAGCTAACAGCGTAATATACATCCAGGCATTGTTGCACTTGGGAGCCTACTTTCAAAGCCAAGCACAATGCATAGATCATTTTGAAGTGATCCACCATTAGAAAAACCACACCCGCTAAGGCGTGGAACTGACTTTCTACAAATCTGTGTGGTTTGAAGCTAGAACTTCTCCCAGTTGCTTAGTTCCAGGAATTTGAATACATACAATACAAATCTAAACTGCTTCTCCTAAGCACTCCATCAAGACACTTGGACAAATTAATTGACCAAGTAGATATTCATAGAGCTGTTCATGCCTTCGAGAGGCTGCTGCTACTTAAGAGCAACTTGTAAATACTGTTGGGCCTGAACATGAAATCATACAGACCTTGCACATTTAGCTCACATTGCCAAAGATGATACAAACGTTACTTCTTGCTGAATTCTGGATCCCTAAAGTGGAATCCCTCAAAATCAAATAAAGTTGGATGACTTGTTGGAGTGACCGTTCTGAGCTGCTTCTTCCACACAAAGGCATTCAGAATAGGTCAACGTAAGCCCCCCATCTCACTGTATGCTGCATTATAAAGCAGTGAAAATAAATCTGTTTTCCTGAGCTATCCAATAACCCCACTCAAAAGTAGTCTGCACACTTCCTTGCAGTCGAGAAGTGGAACCCACTCATCTTTCTTGATGATATTCTTTGTTTTATCCTTGTCCTCTTCTGAAAGATGAGAAAGTGCGAAGTCCATCTTGAAAGGAAAGGCGAAGTCTGATTCTTTGGCCAGAACCCTAATCCAAAGCGCTCCAGGACATTGCCCTGCGTGAAAGGCGCTATATCAAGGCAAACTGTTGTAATCCTCACTTTGAGTGGCCTTCAAGTCTCCCCATCATTGTCTGTTGCTAACATTCCATTGTGGAAGAAAATTGCGTGGGCCGTCAGTGAAGATATACGGATCGAGAAGAATTGCGGGTTCTTAGTGCAGAACATCACTAAATTTGAGAGAATTGAATAAAATAGTGGTGATGCACTTCCTAATTAATTCAAATAGGTCTCCTGTTCTGGGACGATTTAAAGTTGGACACTCTAAAGCCCAACAATTTCAACAGTTTTTATCAGGAGCTAATTTCCAAGCAAGTCTCACAAATACTGATACCATGAGTAGATGCAAGACACTAGAGATGGAAGTTGTGGGTATCTGATATCAGAATGCTTCTGTGGAACTAAAACACAGTTTAGGGCTAGATCCTGTAATAAACTAGCAGCTGAACCTTTGGATCTTCAGGAAACTCAAGCTAAATCTTAATCACAACTTGCATTTTTATAATACTTTTAACATAGGATGATGGATCAGAGTGCTTCAGTGACAGGATCAGATGCCAAGTAAGGGTCAAGGAGAGGTTATAACATAGGTTGAAGAGGTAGGTTTTAAGATGGGATTCAAATATAGATAAGAGGAGTGAGAGGAACTCCTAGAGGTTAGGGGGCATAATGACTGAAGAATCAGCCAACAGTGGTGGCGTGGAGATGGGAAAGGATGCTCAGTTAGCTAAGCGGAGCAGAGGAGGAATAGAAGATAACAGATAGGGAGGTGCTAGAGCATGAAGAGATGCATAGGTATCTTGAACTTGATCAAAAATGATCAACGATTTTAGCCAGTTTAAGTAAAAACAATCATTCCAATTTAATGTAGTGATTCAAATGATCTGTAATTCAAATCATTAAAAAAATCCTACGAAAATGCAACAACAAAAAAAATCACTGAAGCAACTTTGGAAGCTTTCGAAAAGAAGACAAATTAACCAGTATTTGGAATAGAATCCAGAATGTGCTCAGAATGAAGCGACTATTTAGCAGTTCACTTAATTTCAATTCTGAAAAACTGAAAGGAGTTTCCTGTGTGACTTCTCAGGAGAACATGGTATGTTTTGGGCAAATGGGAAGCAAGGTAGTTGTCTAGCTTTGGCTAAGCATTCAGCTCCTGCAAGCACATGAAGATTGCTAGCATTGAAAAAGACTTGATGAAAACCCTGTATTAACACTGCACAACATTGATAAAGTATTGACGACGCCTTGATCTCTAAGAATCAGTAGATGTGTTTGAGACCCACAGAATTGTCTTATTGTATGATTAATCAATGGGGGTGTCACAATCTTGAAGTTAAATAAAATGAATCAAGCTTTAAGGACCAGGATTAACATGAACTCTTCGCCCCAACCCAAAATATTTTGACACAAAGTAAAAGAACAAAAATTACATTTTCTTGGCCTGACAAAATCTTTTCTACACCACCTGCAAACACACACTCTAAACTCTGATAATGATCTTTTACTGACCCTTCCCCAATTACCTTAAGGAAACTACTTCTCTGAGTTGAGGGGCACACATCTATAAAATGAAAGGCACAGTCCTTTCCTATTGTATTATAAACCAAACATCCACACAATTAAAAATGATTCATTGCAAAAATCACTGTATTCAACTCTGCTCACCCCCACCCATAATGTATAATGGAATGTAAACTTTACCCTGGGTGTTTCTGAATAGATGTTATAGCCTCTTTTATTTCAAGAAACTAGTGTTCCCAAAGCAAGTGGAACTGCAGCTATGAATGACAGAAGGCAAAATTAATTGTGAACTGTCAAGTCAAATTGATTAAGTTAATGTACTTCCTGAGGAACGATTAACTATTCCTATAGATTAGCAATATATCTGAGATGACTATTAACACATTCTACTTGTGAAGATAAGAGACATGTTGTTATAGTTCCTCTGTGCTTTGTTAGAACAAAAAATAACTCCTAGAATATGCACTTCAATGCCT